TGTTTTAGTTTGCTTATATGGTGGATTACGTTGACAGATTTTCATTGTTGAACCATCTCTGCATCTCTACGATGAAGCTAACTTGATCATGGTGAATAATGGTTCTGATGTGTTCTTGGATTCAATTTGCTACGATTTTATTTAGTATTTTTGCATCAACGTTCAGGAATGAGATTGTTCTGTAATTCTCTTTCTTAGTAACGTCTTTCTGTGATTTGGGTATCAGGGTGATTATAGCCTCAAAAAAGAGTTTGGCAATGTTCCTTCTGTTTCTATTGTGTGGAATAATTTGAAGAGTATTGGTATTATTCCTTCTTTGAAAGTCTTGTCAAATTCTGAGGTGATTCCATCTGGTCTTGGTTTTTTGTTTGTTTGGGAGACTTTTGATGACTGTTTCTATTTCTTCAGCAGATATGGTCTGTTTAATTTGCTTATCTGGTCTTGATTTAACTTAGGTAAGTTATATTTATTCAGGAAGTTATCCATTTCCTTTAAGCTTTCTAATTTTGTGGAGTACAGGTTTTCTAAATATGACCTGATGATTCTCTTTATTTCCTCCATGTCTCTTATTATGTCCCCCTTTTCATTTCTGATTTTGTTAATTTGGATATTCTCTCTCTGCCTTTTGTTTAGTTTGCATAAAGGTTTGTCTATTTTTTTTATTTTCTTGAAGAACCAATTCTTTGTGTCATTGATTTTTTTTGTATTGTTTTCTTTGTTTCTATTTGTTGATATCAGCTCTCAATTTGATTATTTCCTGCTGTCTAGTTCTCTTAGGTAAGTTTGCTTCTTTTTGTTCTAAAGTTTTCAAATGTTCTGTTAATTCACTAGTGTGGGATTTTCCCAGCTTTTTTAATGTAAGCATTTAGTGTGATGAACTTTCCTCTTACCACCGCTTTCATTGTGTCCCATAAATTTGGGTATGTTGTGTGGTCATTTTCATTGAATTTTAAGAAGTCTTTAATTTCTCCCTTTATTTCTTCCTTGACCCATTGATGATTCAGGTGAGCACTGTTTAATTTCCATGTGTTTGTGGGTTTTCTGGAATTAGTATTGCTGTTGATTTCCATTTTTAAACTATGGTGATCTGATAAGGTACATAGGGTTATTTCAATTTTTTTGTATTTGAACAGTCAAAGACAATGGATGAGTGATGAGGATGTTACACTTAATATACACCACTTCTGTAATACAGCTAACCCTCATCCTGTAAACTAGACAAATAGCATGAAGTTAAAAGGTAGAGAAGCAGGAGCAAAGCAAATAAAGGAAATAGAGTCAGAAGGGCGGGAAACACAGACAGAGCATTGAGTGAAGGACAGGGCAAGTGAGATCCAGTGCATGTGAACAGTTCAAGGCTCAGATGGAACAACTGGTGAGGACCAGGAAGCAGGAGTAGGCAGTGTTTTGTGGAGCATGTACTGCAAATCGCAGCTCTTCTGTTCATTGCAGGTGCACCAGGCTAAGCACAAATACAGAGAGCATGGACTTCTATCTCTTTGGACCCTTCTGAACTCTTTCTCTCCAAGAAGAAAATCTCATGTGATCTAGACAGACCCAGGGGGTGTCAGTGAGGACATGAGGACATCTCCAGTGACTGACACTGACACTGCATGGTGCTGCATACATATAAGACATCTCCCCCATTTCCCTCCTCTTCCTTCTCCTTTTCTTCACTCACCCCCATTTCCTTCCTGAAGATTTTGCTAGAAGGAGGGCTGCCTCTCTTGGCACCACTATCCTCCACTCATGGCCTTTGTGGGCCATGGTGGCATACACAAACCAGACATAGACACTATTCAGCCTGCCCCAGTGTCCTTCCTCTTTGCCTCTCGGCAGCAGCAGCCAGGCCAGATCCTCTGTGGATCCTGGCATTCCCAGGCGTCCAGCTATGATGCTCCTCGGCGGAACCACAGTGAGAGTGAAACTCTAGAGATGTTCCTGCCCCCTTTCAGGCAAGTCATGCTTTGTCACACTGTGTTCTGATGCAGAGACCCACAGCTGGGGATTTTGACTCCTGTCTTCCCTGTTCTGTGCTCAGTACAGCCATAATGTAGGGTAAACAAGAGTGCTTTCTGTGAAGAATAGGGAAATTTTTAGGTGCATAGGAAATGGCCTGTAATTTCACTGTGGCAGTGATGATTATATTTAGTAAAATTCTTCAAGTGATCACTCTAGAAGAATGCATTTTACATATCTATAAAACTGTGCAAAATTACATAATTTTAATAAGCTTTTAAATGGATCATTTGGATATAAATTACCAATTTTAATCATTTTTACTGTAAGCTTGGGTATGTGTGGTTAGAATAAACATTTCAACTTTACTTACATCTGTCTGGTGTAACAACTTTTCCTGCTTAAATGGTTATTTATTTTGGCTTTGGGGTAATGGTATTTCCTGCTACAGTTTTGTAAAGGGCTAAAGGAAGTCCTTACTGCCATATTCCTAGGATGTCCAGGAATTGTGCACTAGATATTTTGGAGGGGTTTCAGAAAATACAGTATGACATTTTCATTAAACAGTCCCCTTCCCATTAGCATGGTGTTAGTGTGTACTGAGGCATCAGGGTGGCTTTTCTTTTTTAGCCTGGTGCACACGAGTGTGTGTCACACACACACACACACACACACACACACACACACACACCCTGCATTAACTTGCCTTGTTCCCCTCCTCCCTCGTCTGTCCCCAATCCCTGGGACAGTCTGGATCAAGCCTGCTGCTCTGATTGTGTTTGACTGGAAAATGACTATTGGTGCCTCCACAGGAAGTACAGAGGAGTTCTCTCTTGTGTGGGCTAGCCTTGGTCCAAATCTAAAACCTTAGAGTCCTCATTGGTGCCATGAGTGGGGGCTCCTGGGGATCAAATACATTTGGAAAATATTAGACAGGGTGAAACAGAACTCCCAGTGAAGTCTTCTCAAAGATCCTAGTTCAGGCTCATTAGAGGTCTTTAGAGGGTTGTGCCAGTCTTCACCCTGGGGTGGGGTTACCTTATTGCCTTCAATTTCCATTCTGTGCATGTGCGCGTGTGTGCTTGTGTGCATGCCTGCATACACCCATACATGCAGCAACCTGGGAAGGCAGAGGGCAGTGTAGGATCATGGAGTTGGAGTTGCCGAAGATGTGAGCTCTCCCATTCCCTAGGTAGCTTTTAGGAACCAACCCAGACCTCCCCCAACACATCACTCTCTCAATCCATATCCTGGTCTTTTACTTTTTAAAGCACACATTTTACTGAGCCCAGTTAGTGCTACCCATGAGTTTGTGGCTGTGGAGCCATCTACTTGAACAAGGACAACCTACTGGTGGCCACACGCCAAAGAAAAATGACTCTCCTTCCCGCAGTGGTCACCCACCGCTCAGGCACGTTGGATGACACAGAGAACTCTGGCACATCTGTAGGCCAGAGCCAGCTCCCTCACACACTGTCACTGCTCCTCACCATCCCCGGGTCTCAGCCTCAGTCCCATCGATTACATGGCCCATGCTTGCGCTTTTCTTGGGTGTGATACAGTTCCTGCTCTTCTTGATATGCCTGTGACTTCTTCGGCAACACCACCTCCACTTTTCATTCCCACCCAGACCCTTGGTCCACAGGTCACTCAGTGCCCACATCTTCCTGGGCATGGCAGCTTCTCAGATGTAACCATTACCTTGTGTTCTGAAAGTATCCAGGAGATGGTCTTTGCGTCACTAATTAGATTTTCCCCGTTCGCTCTCTCCTCTTCCTTATCAGACTCTCTTCATTTCCTCCACAGATGCTCACCACATCAGGAAATCACTTTGTTCTTTTAATTGATTCTTTGCAGGTGTCTAGTTGTTTGTTTACACTTACTAATGAGGGTCTAAGTCAGCTCCTGCAGCTTCCTAAGTGTGGGACTGATGGATGGGGTACCAACTTGGCCTTCTCTCTTCTTATACAGGCACAGTCCTAACAGATGAGGACTCCCACCTTCACGACCTCATCCTTAGTTACCTCCAATTACTGTAAGTCAGTAGTTCTCTGCCTTCCTAGTGCTGTGACCCTGCAATGCAGTTTCCCATGTTTTGGTGACTCCCAACCATAAAATTAATTTTATTGCTACTTCATAACTGTAATTTTGACACTGTTATGAATGTAAATATCTGATGTTTCTGAGGGTTTTAGGTAACCCTTAAGAAAGGGTCATTTGACCTTTAAATTGCCCGTAACCCACAGGTTGTTCTCAACATAGTCATAAACGGATTAAGCATTTCTCTTACTAACTCATGATAGAGATTCAATCTCAGCATAGGTCTTGGTAGGGAACAATAAGACAACAGCAATGTCTACAGAATTCTATATGTATGTGTTTTAAAAGTTTACCCGGTACCTGTAACAATATAGTTTATAGTATCAGTGGAATTTGGTAGCAACCTCACACTAAGAATCTTTTTTTTTTAAAAAGATTTTTATGTATAATGTATGCAGGGTTCTTCCTGCATATATCCTGCAGTACAGAAGAGGACACCAGATCTTATTACAGATGGTTGTGAGCCACCATGTGGTTGCTGGGAATTGAACTCAGGACCTCTGGAAGAGCAGCCAGTGCTCTTTACCTCTGAGCCATCTCTCCAGCCCCCACAATAAGCATCCTCAATCCCAGTGTCTTTCAATCAGCACGGAGAAGGATGGTTTCTAAAGGGGACCTTTGCTTTAAACTTCAAATGAAATTAGCCAAGGGTCAGGCCAGTCTCCTGGGCAAGAAGGAGACACAGCATCGGCTCTGGAAGTTCTCATCTGAAAGGAGATCTCAGATGACCCCAAGGTGGAGAACTCTAACCTGGAGACAGTTGGTGCAGCTGACCGGTAATTACCATTTGCCCTGGAATGGGAGGGAGGCACTGCAGACAAAGCTCATTTGGAGCACCGCACTTGACACGGCTGGTACAAGCAATAAGTGTGTAGCATTGAGCATATTTGTTCCTTGCATTAAAGCCTTCTCTTTCTGGCACCTTTAGTTTGTACTCATCCTAATATCAACATCATTTTCTCAGGCACACAGACACCAGCAACTTTGTCTATAATTTCCAAGATACATGTACTTTTTTTTTTTTATTGCAAATCAACAGTGAACAAGAGCATTGTGAGTCAGCGCTCCAGTGCTGGACCAGCTGTGATGGGTTGCCTTGCCCAGACAGGAAGGACTTCAGAGCAGGCACACTAGGGAGCTTGGAGGCAAAGGTCAGACAATTCGGTCTGTGACGCAGCAGCTGAGCATGTGTCGGGAGTTCATCTGCTAGTCACCTTCTTCTTGAGGTTCCTGTTGGAGGTTCAGAGAAGTCCGTTCTGAATGAGAAGAGGTTGACGAGAGCGACTATCAAGAAAGCCGCCTTTTGTGGGTGCTGATGCTCCCCCCTTTTAGAAAATACCTGCACCTAGTTCTCAGACTAGGTATGCAACCCAGAGGGTGAGGACAGAAATGAGCTTCTTCTCCTAAGGGTTAGGGCCCAACTGCTTCCTCTTTTAAATTCCCCTTAGTGATAAAATAATTTTCCCCTTTACTTAAACCCAAGACCCGAGCTCTCCTGTCTCACTCCTCTCCCCAATCTCTCTTTCCATTCTTCTCCTTCAGGTAAAATCCTGGCACATCCATCCCTGTAATGTCTGAAGTTTATTTAGAACAAAAAGCTTTATTGTGGTGTGAACATGTGCCACAGTGCACACCTGCAGGTCAGAGGACAACGCTGTGCGTTCCGTTCTCTCCTTCCGCACTTATGTGGGTGCTGCGGTTTGAACCCAGGTTGCAAGGCTCGCACAGAAGGTGCCTTTACCGGTTGTTCTCACTAGCGCCCCCATCTGTGATAACAGTCTGAGTATTATTGGGAGGCTCTGTCCAGGAATGGCAGCAACTCTTGCTTTCTGCAGGTGTTACAGGTTAGAAAGAGAGTGCCCAGAGGTACGTGTGGTGGGGGCACCGCCACAGCTGAGGTGGCTGAAAATGTCTCAAAGGGGTGCACGAACTGTGCCTTCTGTAAAGGCTTACTAGACTGGGGACACGGAATTCTTTGCCTGCAGTTAATGTAAGATAAAAGGCCAAAACTGTGTTTCTTTGACGGGCTCTGGGTTCAGGGCAGGGTGGGTTTCTTTGGCTGGCCCTGGTTTCAACCTAACTTCCTACCCAAACCCACTAGGCTGAGTTTTTTAACTTTTGCTACCTCACATTTTTTTTCTTTTTATTAAATTGTTTTCATTGAGCTAAAAATTTTTCTCTGCTCCTCTCCCTTCCTCCCCCTCCTCTTCCACCCTCTCCCATGGTCCCACGCTCCCAATTTACTCAGGATATCCTGTCTTTTTCGACTTCCCATGTAGATTAGGTCTTCATTGTTGTTTAGGTTCTCTGGTGTTGTGAATTGCAGTCTGGTTTTTCTTTGTTTTATGTCTAAAATCCACTTATGAATGAGTGGATATTTTATTTGTCTTTCTGGGTCTGGATTACCTCACTCAATATAATGCTTTCTAGATCTATCCATTTGCCTAGGCTAAGATTCTTAAACCTCTGATCACAAAATACTTGGCCTGCCTTAAAATTCTCAGTCTTCACGGGCACCTGCGTCTCTGACTTTGTCATTTAACAACGTTTTCTGTTTGAACACCCAGATCTTTGTAAGCCGTGCTGCCTAGTCCACATTTTTGCTACTGGTTTTCCACTCCTTCCAGGACTCAAATCCACCACCCTTGGCCATTAACATACCTGCTCCAGGAACCTCAGTGTCTTCTGTTTGCACTGTACAACCCTCTTCCAGTCTTTTGACTTGGACATTTTCCCTTCCATTAAAAATTCCTTTGGAGTGAGCCAATCCCCTGCCTTATTCTGAATGCATTTTCCTGAGGAGCCTGTAAGAAAAAGACACGTCATTACAGGACCGACCGGGCTCCTCTGTGAATTTACCACAAGCCTCTGAGCCGCCCCATTATGGCTCTCCTCCTTCCCAGGTCAAGAGGGGATGTTTCAGGGGTAGAAACAGAGGTGGGGAAATCTGGGTTCCTCTTTCAGATTCTGGAAATGCCTTTCAGGGAGGCCTTTTTTTTTTTTTTTGCCTCCTGATGAGCTGGGCACAGGGCACTCTCTTCCCATGTAGCCCCTCCAGGGACCAGAGGATCAGCACAGCGGGCCCTTGCCTTGCTTCATTTTCTACTTGCACAAAATTCCTTTGGCCTTCCCACAGGTCACAGCAAGTGTTGGAGAGAGAAAATCTAAAGTGTCATCCTTGGACATTCCTGGAAGCTAGAAAACAAACAGACCTGGGTAAGTGAGGAGGCCAGCACTGAAAGACAATGTCCACTGTCATTACCTGCTATCACTTTACACTTTATAGGGTTCCGGTCTCCTCCTTTGCACACTGAAAAAAAAAAAAGCAAAACGAAACAAAGAACAAAAAATTCTGGATGATTCTAGACGAATCTGCAAATTGCACCTGGAGAGATGTGGCAGCTCAGAATCTCAGAACAGGGTTCTCAGGTTCAAAAGAACGAATTTAAAGTAGCTGCTGACAGTTGTGCTTGCTTTCCTACCCAGCCTTGCTGGGAGAAGAATTCATGCAGGGCTTTCACCTGGGGACAGGGAAAGTTGCCGTAACTGTTCATGTTGAGTGAGAGGCTAACAGTAAGGTAACAACATTGGGCCCAACTCTCTCTCGCCTCTAACACGTACTGAAAGAGTAAAAGAAAATTGTCTGCTTCCTTTTCTCATTATTGGAAAACGGAAAGAAGAGTGCTGATGTGAAGATGCTAATTATCATTAATTATTTCAGAAACACGGAGACCAGGAGAGTCACACTGTGAGAGGAGGGGCTCCTGGGACTAGGGAACGGGTTATCCCAAAGAGCGCCAAAGGATGTTTAGTTTAGGAGGAGCCTGGCTGGCAAGTGGGTAAGGGTGTGGAGTGACCTGTCCCATCCCCCATCTGTCTCCAGGCTCCTCTCAAACACGGTAGAGTAGATGAGAATCCTGAGCCAGAGGCAGACCTGGGCAGAGGCAGAATCTTGGCTTCGCAGTTTCCTAGAAAGCCCACTGAATTGCAGTGGTGTTTGTTATCCAGTTTGAGTGGGGGATTTGCATCTCTCAGATCCTAATGTGAGTGAGAAGCAGAGCTACAGGTAACTCAGAATTACTATTACAAACCCTGGGGGAGGGATGCTCCATATTGTCCCAGTGTGGGGATCTTTCAAGGTTTTGTCTCCATGGGAACAGCTTTGCTAATTCCCTGTGGGAAGTATAGCTCTAAAGAAGACAGATGTCCTGAACATGCTTGCAACAGATGAAGGGGCAGTGTGGGGGTTTAGGGTGCTGCAAGGAGCAAGCTAACATGCAGGGTCAGGCCATAAGCATAAGCATCTCTCTCTCTCTCTCTCTCTCTCTCTCTCTCTCTCTCTCTCTCTCTCTCTCCTGTGGCAGGTACCCCTTGTCCCTCAAATGTGATGGGCCTTTAGTTCCGAGGACGTCTAAAGCCATGTACCCTACCCTTAAGAGAAGTTTCCTGGTGAATTCTCAGTGGTGCTGAGTTTGGCTTAGCCACATTTGCCCATTTCAGCAGAAGGCCTTTAATGATGAAACCTGAGGGACAGCCTTTCTGAGGCTCTTCAGCATCTGCCAGCCCCATTCGAAAGGAGCTGCAGCAGCTGGTTAAGACCCTCATTAGTGTGAGCTAACAACCAGGAGCCTGGAGCAATTAAAGATAAAAACAATTTCCTGAAGTAAAGAACCTCTATGGAGGAAGCCTGACAGGGAAGGGGAGCAGTGGAAGGGGAAAAAACCACTTAGTGACCCCAAGACCAGCTTCTGAATGCTTCCAGAACACAGGAAGAAACCCAAGGTAATGGTTACACCTGAGAAGATGGCATACCCAGAGAAGATCTGCATACTCTCTGACCTGTGGTCCAAGGTGAGTGTTTGGTCGGTAGCATCACCTCAGCTCCCTAATACCCCTTTGTATAAAACGTCTGGATTGTTTGCCTGGGGGCTTCACCCCAGCTCCTGGCATAAGATCCCTCCCCTGGGAGTTGCCTCAGTCCAAGCTCCACCTCTGAGAAAGCCTGTCAAATGGTGACCCCTCCCCAGGGAAGGTTGAGACCACTCCCACAGGTTATTTAAACTGCCCCCCCCCCCCGAGAATGAACACATGATCTCGGGGTTTTGTATGGTCTCCCCTTCCCTCTCTCCTTCTCTCCATGCTTTCCTGGGGTCACCCGGGAGCACTCAATTAAACCAGGGTTTCTTTTAATGTGGTTTGATTTGGTCTGATTGGGATTATTTGAGTCAGCAGAGAGGTTCATCTAAGAGAAAATACTTAACATTTGGAGGTCCCACTGGTGGGGAGAGGGCCTATCCCCTACCATCTCACCCCTGTCCATGCTTTCCGGGGACCTCCTGGGAACACTCCATTAAACATGGGCATCTTTAATTTGGTCTGATTGGGATTATTTTTGTGGCTGGAGAGGTTCGTCTAAGAGAAAGTACCTAACAGTGGAAAAGAGAGATGGAAGATGGGGTGGCTACAGAAGTTACAGGTAGAGCAAGAAGATCAAGAATCACATCCTTCATCCTACTAAGTAAGGCGAAGGCAAGGATAACCCATTTAATAGATGGGGCCAAGGCTCGGAGGTAAGAAGTCTGCCCAGCACTGACAGTGTGTGAGGTCTGACCATGGGATATGGGTGTATCATCATCCAGCATGCCTCGGCAGGAGCAGCTGGTAGTTGATGGGGTACGGGTGGCTACCAGTAGGTTGCCCATGCTCCAGTGACTGGCCCCACACCCAGCACTAACTGAACTCTGTATACGAACATGGGAGAGGGATGTGTGGGACTGGAAGTGGGGAAAGCTGTAGGGGGGAATAGGAGATGGGCAAGATCAAAGCACATTCTATACATGATGACATCTTAAAAGAGTAAATAAAAATATTATTTTTTAAAAAGACAAAATGGCTCAGTAGAACTCCTAATAGCACAAGCACCCAGGCCAACTCAGAAGTTGCAGCCTAGGGCAGAAGCTAAGCTGACAAGCAGTGGTCAGCGTGGGTCTGGGTTCCTGCTTCTTCAAGTGTTTCATTAAAAAAGATTAAGAAGCGTTTGAGGTTGTTCTCTGTGCTTTTTCATTGTAAAGAACAAAGCCTTCAGAAGCACCTGGGTGGATTTTTAGTTCATTTAAGTGTTTTACCTTTTAACTGAGTCCAATCATGACGATCAAAAGACAACAAGAAGGGCAAGTACTTTGTCTCATCCAGGCCTCTGCATAAGGTCCCAGACGAATAACCCAGAGTGCCAAGTACAAGAATTTCCAGCAGAGGGCAGCATAGACCCAGGTATAAGCATTCCTAGTGCCTATACTCCCTTGTGTTTGTTAACAATTTGTTAATTGTTTAAACATGAGCACAGAAGAGCAGAAAGCAAGGCCAATCTGCTCTTGATCTCCCTTGCTACTCTCACAGTAAACAGGAGGTACATAGACAAGCAACCACAGCTCGGAAAGAGCCACAAGGGAAAGCTACAGGGTTTCCTGGGGACATGTCGTTTGGGAGACCAAGCACTGGGATTAAAGGTCTGGGCTGCCACACTCAATTGGCATATCATATTTTATCATTATAGAACCACGGCACCAGAGATTGGATTCAAAGTCTACTAAGCACTAAGAGCAACTGCTCTGGAGTAGCTAGGCTAAGTCCTGTACGGAGGCCTGGATTTCTATTGCCAGCACCCGTCCATGCTGTGTGGATCACAACCCTCTGTAGCTCTAGTTCCAGGGCATCTGGTGGCTCTGGCCTTTACATGTGCCTCTGTGCATGCACGTATATCCTCCACCCTCATAATTAAAAATAAATTCAGTCTTTAAAGAACTACCACTGGTTGGTTGTTTATGTAGTGTTAGGGATGAATGCCCACAGATACCCTAACAGACGATTAGAAGACCCCATGCTTTCAACTCCATGGCTCTGTGAAGCGAGATTTTCCTCCTGTCCTCAGCCACAGCCACTCATAACTGTGTGAATTCGGGAACAACTCTAAGACTCCACCTGTCTGTTATGCAGCCCGGGATTACCGAGGCCTGCAGGAACATAGACTGACACCAATTTTCTAATTTTGTTTTTGCTGCAGAAATACTTTGTAATTGTTGGTTTTTGCTTTTTGTTTTTCCAGACAGGGTTTCTGTCCTGAAACTAGTTCTATAGACCAGGCTGGCCTCGAACTTAGAGATCCTGAGTTTGGTTCTCCAAATGTGTGGATTAAAGGTAAGTGCCACCACTACCTGGCTCAGTAATACATTTTTATACAGTTTATATGACCAAACAACTTATTTCACTTTATGTAAAGTTTTAAAAATTATTGGCTTTAGCTATGAATAATGTGCACATAGGTAGACATAAACATGGACACAGACCTTTGGAAGTTCTTAGTTATCTTTAAGGTTGTAAAATCTAAAGGGTGAAGACCCTCTCTTTGTCTTATGTCTCAGCTGAGATGACCTGTGGCTATGACCTGATGACCTGTGGCTATGTTCTTTTACCAAAACCTCCTCAGCCACAGTAGAACATTGCCTCTCTTTGCCCCTCTGACCCCTATCCTCATTCTTTCTCTCTCCTAATATTGAATTCATGAATCTCCCCCACTGCTGTGCCAGGTCTAAGGGACCCTGCCATACTGAGCCTTTCCAGGTCCCACCAGGAAAAGTGTAAGGCAGGTCCCACCGTACCTTATTTAGAAATCAGAGGATGTCCAGTCCTTGCCTTCTGAGTCCTGGTCACCATCTTCAAGTTCCTGGTTGAGTCATTCTTCCTCTGAGTCCTCTGGTCCACCACTTTGAGCTTCTTCTGGACTCCTTGTCCAAGTGAGGCCACCCCTGGGCCAAGAGAGACTCAGGAATGGACGTCCCCAGTGGAACTTCCCTTCTTTCACAGATTTCTTTCCCCATTGCACCCTCCCTTCCAGATCTCTATGCCTCAGTTTAAGTTACTGTTTTTTTTTTCTGATGTGCACCATGCTTTCCCCCCCCAAATATGTTCTCCGTATGTTCTCACCCCAGGGAGCTCTCAGTAGTATTAACTAGATGAATATGGGGTTATTGAAGGGTTGGGGTGTTGCTTTTTGTTTCATGTTTGTAAGACTCCTGAACCATGAGGTGGTACCATCAAAGTCAAATGGCAAAGCCCTGGGATTCTTCAGGAGTGGAGGGAGAGCCTTCCATGTAGCATTCATGTGCAGAACAGACAACATCCAAAGACTGCGAGACACCTTTCATGGGTAAAGCGTACAGAAGTACAGGAGAGACAGGCATAGTGCCTGCCATGAAGGCAGCTCCCAGGAGTGCCACTGGAGGGTGTGGCTGAGACCCAGAGGCTCTGCTGGGGGGACCATTGGGTTTCACTGAGGAGAGGGAGAGCACAGTGCTTTTCATTGCTGGGACTTAGGAAGTGGACATCACAGGATAGCCACAGCCCACTGGCACAGGGCTCCTCTCCAGAGCTCTTCTTGCACTTGTACCATGAGCTACCTGTAGTGGTTTCAAAGAAAATGTTCCTTAAAGGGAGTGGCATTATTAGGAGGTATGGCTTTGTTGGAGAAAGTATGTCATTGCAGGGGTGGGCTTTGAGGTCTCATATATGCTCAAGCCATGTCCAGTGTCTCAGACCACTTCCTGCTGCCTGCAGGTCAAAATATAGGACTCCCAGCTACTTCTCCAGCACCATGTCTGCCTGCACCATGATAACAATGGGCTAAACCTCTGAAAATGTAAGCCACCCAATTAAATGTGTTTCCTTTATAAGAGTTGCTGTGGTCATGGTGTCTCTTCACAGCCAAGCAACTCTAAGACATGGCCCCTCAGGGCTAGGACCCAGGCTTTTACATTTTATCTCACAGAATGAAGCTGTTAATTCTCCTTTTAGTTTGGAAGGATGGTGCCCTCATGAACATCGAAAGGAAACCAGTCACTCTCCATCCTTCACCTTGGACCACTGCCACCTCCCATCAGAACAGAGTTCACTGGTTTCTCAGTGACAAAACTGGTCAGGTGAAATTTAAAACCAGATCACCGCACTATCCAGAGCTCCCTGTGTGCCTTCTCATTGAGTTGAGAGCAAACTCCATTCCTTCTCCACCAGATCTTTGGCCCCTCAGGAGCCTGCTCCAGCATCCTCTTGCCTCTTCGTCTCACCTTCTGTGGGACTTTTCTTCTGACATTTTCTTTTGGGTGTTGACCAGATGCCTCCTTTGCTTTTTATTTGCTAAGAAGAAAGAATACAAAGTCTCTTATAGTCACAAATATAAACCTGTCAATCTTTTTTATTTAGAAAAATTAAATAATATTTTTGTTCATTAATTGTGTGTGTATATGCATGTGTATTTATGTGTTTTGTGTGTGCATATGTATGTATGCTTGTGTGTATGTGTGTGTACATGTGTATGTGTATATGTGTGTATCTGCATGCATGTGTATGTGTGTGCCTTAACCTTGAGACAGCTCTCCAAGCTCAACCCTAACCTGTTGAAGGATCAGCTGGAAAGGAGAGATCAGAGGTTGAACATGAAGGAACAAGCATCAAGGACTGCTGTGGGACAATAGTCTTTTATCCTTTCACTTCTATTATTTTTAATAAAATGCTGATTGCCAGTTAATAATTAATGTAGGCTTCTGTGTATTTCTTTGGGATTGAATGGCTCCAGAACTGGGCAGGACAGAAATCTCAGACAACAAATGGTACCCAATGTGTGGACAACTGCATCCACACAAAGCCTGAGAGAGCTTGGGAAATAATTCTAGACAGAAGAGGATAGAGTTAAGCATGGCTTATTGATAGTAATACTTTCTCAGGTGGGCTCTGTTTGCTGGAGGCAAATGTGTCTCATTTAAGAGAGGCTTCCTGACTCAGCTTTGGCTGCAAAAACTTTGCAGCCCTTTTAAGAGGCTCTGCCACAAAACACTTAAATGGTATTTGTGAATAGCTTACAACATGCTTCTTGGCAGCTGTATGGACCTTGAAACACCATAGAGTTGTGACAATAAACATGGCTCTGGCCAGTGCCACTATAATGAGGCTAGAATCTCAGAAAGCTAAGGAATGGGCTGGATCCAGCCAAAGCCAAGGCTTTAATCATAGACATATCACTTAGCAAATTAAAGACTCACATGACAGAAAAAGAGATACAGTAAAGATAGTTTCAGGCAAAAAAAAGCCTTTAAACAATTTACAGTGTGTTTAAAAATATATGTAGACTTTTGAAAGAAAAAAAGAAGGATAAAGTCTTTAAAAGGAAAAAGAAAAAAAGAGTAGTTGTGTGGTGGGAACACCTTTAATCCTAGCACTTGGGAGGCAGAGGCAGGTGGATCTCTGTGAGTTCAAGGTTTCTTGGCACACATCTTTAATCCCAGCACTTGGAAGGCAGAGGTGTGTGGATTTCTGTGAGTTCAAGGACAAATATACACAGAGAGACCCTGTCTCAAAAAACCAAAATTTCAAAATAAAAATAAAAGAAATAAGAGTTTAAATGAAGCCACATAAAGATGGAAAACACACAGAGTCTTGATACTGTATGTTATTATGCTCTCTTTGAATTGTCTGAATGCTGAGGAAGGAGCAACAGCTGCTAATAGATATTTGCTTATAAATGCTGCTAATTAATCCAAGATAGGTATTTTGAAAATACTTTGACTTCAAAATTGAAGTCAAAATGTATGTTACTTTGGAGAAGAGATTTTGCTTTTGTTGCCACAGGAAATGAGAGGTTGTGGATTCATTCTGGGTTAAATAAAATCATGTTTGATCACAAAAAGAACCCCTGAGAAATCTCTGATAGGAGTGGATGGCCCAGATGTCTGAGTTCTACATCCAGAACAGATTCAAGACTGCTGCCTGAGATAATCAAGTCTCAAAGGATACTCCAGTCAGGACTTGATCATAATTCTAAGTTTTCTTTAGGTCCCCATAAGATTATCAGCACCCCAAATCATCAGGAAGTAGCCTTGAAAACTATGCCCACACTCCCCCCAAATGTTTCTTGCCTGGAGTAATCTTTCCTTCCTGAATGAAGCCAGGGGTAGGCACAGCTGGGTGAGAAGGACTGGGATGCTCATCCAGAATCTCAGTGATTTGCTGTGACGCTGCTCGGGGTTCACTGACTCTTGGTGCAGAGGACAGATGGCTTGGTGGGGATGGTTGGGGAGGAGAAGGGTCTGCACACTTCTCTTTTTCCCTTCATCGGCAATAACAACTGGAATTAGCAAAGGAGCACATATCATGATCCTGGAAGTTATCTGGCAGATGGGATTGCCTAGTGCATCTTTTCCCACAGCACAGGAGGCAGAGTTACTGATTTTCCCCAGTTGCACAGAATGGGTTCATCACCACCCATGTCCATTCTGTGGCAGCTTTTGGCTTTTATTTCATTTGGATAATCAGTGCTATTTAGTCATTGCTATATCACCAAAAATTGGATTGACCATATAGAAACCTGCTACTGTAGAAGCTCCCTCAAATGTATACAAATTTAAATGGAATTTAAACAAAATTATCATATAGCAGGGGAGATAATGCCCTGAGAAGATATCATATGCTACCAAATAAAAACTCCTAGTTTCAGGAATGTGTCACATCTTTTTGAGTCATTGGCCAAAGAAGTACCAGAGGTTCCTCTGCCCCAAACATTACAGATCATTGCCAGTGCTATTGGTTACTCTCCATAATCTGCTAATAAGACCCTATTGCTCAATGCACCACACACTTATGCCATCCTGCATGAAGAAATCATGCTAGTGTTCAACTAGAAGTTTCACTACCACGGACTAGCATTCTTAGTGCTGGAGAAGGTTCTATGCACATTACCAGAGGTGAAAAGTCATCATCAGTCTCACCCAGCTAGGAATGCCGTGAGCTATAATACTGCAACCTGCTGTACTCACTAGTGGAATAGTGGCACAAATGTTATAAGGATGACCAACTATCTTTCAATTGGATGTAAGGGTAGTTTTATGAGATGAACCCACATTCAACACTGTTAATATATCCAAATATCTAAGACTAGATAGGTCATGAATCTCAAGTTAAACCTACTGCATTAATTTTCTAAATGAGCATAACAACACAATCACTACTAATAATGTTTTGCTATGCTAATTGTGATGGATATTTTTGGCCATGAACTTGACTACATCTGGAATTACCTAAAACACAAGGGGCTGGATACACATGTGAGGTATTTTTATTAAATCATTTGAAGTAGGAAGCCCCATCTTAAATCTAGATCTTTTTAGGTGGTAAGCCCCACCTCTAATCTGGGACACACCTTCTTCTGGCAGTTTATACAAAGGACATGGAAGAAAAAGGCTGGTTCTCTTTGCATGCTTGTTCTTGCTGGCAAGAGCTGGCATTAGAGCTTACTTCTTTGGGATTTAAGAGTATACTGAAGACCAGGCAAGACACCCATCCTCCTTGATTGAACAACTACTGTATTATTGAACATTCCATCGGTGGACAGCCATTGTTGGACTAGCTGAACTACAACCTGTAAACCATTTTAATAAATCCTCTTTCTATAAATAGATTCATTCTAATATTTCTGTCCCCCTAGAGAACCCTAATACATCCATAGATCACTGCACTAATTAACCCTCATCAGAGAAGCTTCCTCTTGTGGAAGATGGGAATTCACACAGAGATCCACGCTGGACAACATTCAGAGAGTGGGAGATGTCTTAGTTAGGGTTTCTATTGCTGCAACAAAATACCATGACCAAAAAACAAGTTGGAGAGGAAAGGGTTTGTTTGGCTTACACCTCAGCATTGCTGTTCACCACTGAAGGAAGTCAGGACAGGACCCATATGGGGCAGGATCCCAGAGGCAGGAGCTGATGCAGAAGCCATGGAGGGAAGCTGCTTACTGGCTTGCTTCCCATGGCTTACTCAACCTGCTTTCTTATAGAATCTAGGACCACCAGCCCAGGGATGGCACCACCCACCATGGGCTGGACCCTCCCCAGTAGATCACTAAATAAGAAAATGCCTTTCACCTGGATCTCATGGCCGCATTTCCTCAACTTTGGAGTACTCAGTCCTAAATGGGATATCTGTCACATCCTCCCCTCAAAGCTCAGGGATCTATGCTAAAAAGGAGGTGCAATGATCAGAGGTGGCAGATGACTCCATGGAAACAGCTTCTTTTGCACACAGAGGGACTGGTGCATACTGAACTCACAGAGAATGAGTCAACATGCCCAAGACCGAGTTCAAACCAGACAAATATCTGAGCACTGAGAATGGCACAAAGTTCCACTCCTAACAAAGAATGTATTTGCAATTAATACTTGATGGAAAAGGGAAAATCAGTATTCTTCAATGGAATGACACTGGATAATTGTGGCGAACCCCTTGACCAGCAAGGAAGAACGACCACGAAGTCGAGGATTCTTCTCAAATCACACTTTATTGGAGCCTCTTGGTTAAAGGTAGAGCGGGAAGCGAGAGAGAGAGCGTGAAGGCCAAGCGGCATCTGCTTATATAGGTTGAAGGGACTCGGGTACTGTCCTGATTGGTGAATACCAGTCTGCTGATGCCCGAAGCCTCAGGATTGGCTAGGGGCAAGGCTCAATTGCGCATGTACAAGCAAAGGGCGCTCAGCCCCACGCGGCAATACCAAAGAAGGACTTTGTTTACCTCCAAGCTGCAGGACCGCTAGTGCCATCTTGTAATGGCGATATCTGGATGGCTCCTTACAGATAATCAATAACACTCCAGGTCAGGCCCCCATGCTGAGGAGTCGTTGGCTAGTACAAGATGGACTCCATTTTTTCTTTTTCTTTTTTTTTTAGTTTTATTTGTGCCTATATATGCTTTTTGTCTGTTTGTTCTGATTTGGGTTTGAGGTTTTTTTTTGGGGGGGGGCGTTATTTGTTTGTTTTTTTTCTAACATAGGGTCTCCTCTCTGTAACAGCCCTGGCTACCCTGGAACTCACTCAGTAGACTAAGCTGGTTTCAAACCCGCAGAGATCCACCTGCTTCTGCTTGCCAAGTGCTGGGCATGGGCATAAAAGCCTATACTGGGCTTGAGTTTTCTAAGAGAGAGAGAGAAAGGCTATGAAGTGGGGTGGGTAGAGTGGGAGGAGCTGAGAGGAGTTGAAGGAGGGGATAGGATGTGACCAAATGTATGGAAAGGTTTTGAAAAAGACCTCAAAAGTAAATAAATAAATAGAAGAAAGTTAAGCAAAACTGGGTTTTGACACATAAAATTGGATATTTTGTACCCAGGGATGCAATTTCCTATGATTTTAGTTTTATACAACTTAGTCAATTGTGTGAAATTTTAACATACAATTTTAATTGTGCAATTTTAACAAATGTCCATATTTAAATAGATAAATACATCTCCCTGGAGTAGTAAATGAAACAAAGTCTTCTTAGCAGAGTGTATTGAGATCTTGATCTTCTGGTTTCTCCCCATTCCTGCAGGTCCTATTGTACCCTACGACCTGGCCACTTCAGTGGGACTAACCTATGACCTTCCTTTCAATCCCAACACCAGGCCCTTGGCTTCGCACACACCGTTCCCTTTAATAGATTGGGGTTGGTTTCTGTTAAGACTCTTCTTCATCATTTATTTCAGAAATAAAGATGCCTTGACTCACAAACGGGAAAAGTCATGGACACAAACAAGGTTCAGAACAAAACCACAGAGCTGCACAGGCCAGGATGAGCCCGGTCAGGTCTCGGAGGAGCTCAGCGTGTACTGGAAGCTCGTGTTCTCCTGGCCTTGCAGGGGCCAGATGCCTGGGCAGCTGCCCTGGTTTCGAGCGGAAGCCTACCCTCCACTGTTCCCTTAGCTTAAGGAATCACCTCTCCTTTGGGAAGGAGCCTTTAGATGGTGAAGGGTCATCCATAGTGACCCAGCGACGACAGTGTCACAATGCAGTGTGACTGTGTTTGGACTCGGCTGGGTTTGTTCTCTCCAGTATCCCATGGTTTTATTGCCTGGTGGTCCTCTCACTCCCACCTCAACTTGCCAGACCTGTTTTCTGCCCCTCTTTCTGTTCCTTTTTTTTTATCCAGCTGCTATAGTTTGGATGTCGAATGTCCCCTCAAAACTTAGGTGTTAGGGGTCTGGATCCCAGGGTGACACTACAGACGTGGGTCTCAACCCCTTTGGGGCTCGAATGACCTTTTCACAGAGATATCCTGTTCCTCAGATATTTACATTATGGTTCGTAACAGTAGCAAAATTACAGTTATGAAGGAGTAATGAAAATAACTTTATGGCTGGGGGTCTCCACAACATAAGGAGCTGTATTGAAGGATGGCAGCGTTAGCAAGTCAGGCTGAGAACCACCGCACTACAGGGGAAGGGTGATACTTGAAGAGGTGAACTGAGTGGCCCTGTGTGGGCGCTGGAGCATCCCTTGAAGGGGATTATGGAATCCAAGTCTCTCTTCATTATCAGAACACACAGTGAGCAGTTTTACTTTGTCACACACTCCTGCTGTGACACACTGCCTTGCTACAGGTCTCAACTATGTCAGATCAGAACCCTCCCAAACCCCTTTTCTCATTGTGAGCTAAATTATCTCGGGCATTGTGCGCCAGAGATAAGGCTCTGACGAAAGTCCCAGTTCTTCCAGTTCCATCACCCCTCACGCTCCGTTCTTTCTTCTACCCTCTCTTTCCCTGTCTGTGTCTGTCACCCTCATCTTTGCAAGCTCTCTCTCTCTCTCTCTCTCTCTCTCTCTCTCTCTCTCTCTCTCTCCTCCAGCCTTACAAGCTGCTTTCCTGCTGGCTTTGTTGCCATAGTGGTCACTATCTTGGCCTCTGTATTGGGAAATCCATATAGGCGTTCCCAGTCCTACTTCTAAAACAAATGACTGTGGGAGCTCCTGCCCAACTTTCCTTGTCGGTCTAGAACAGTTAACAATGATGTCACAGGTTGTTTTAAGGACACATGAGATGATCATATAAATTGTGCGGCACAACGACGCCGTCTCAGAGAGATGCACATTGAACCCGTTTCCTCGTTCTCCATCTCTAGAGCTCCCTGTTTTTCTTCCACATCTGACTTCTGGCATTTCTGTCATTTCAGGTGCTCCCTGGAGATGGGCTCCCTGGAGATGGTGTGGCGGGCTCACACCAGTAACACCAGCACTTGGAAAGTAGGCCGAGGCAGAAGGACTACATCATGAGACCCTGTCACAAACAAAGTTATACCTGAGTGAAAATTCACTGAGTAACTGCAACAAAAACATCTGTGTCCTATAAAAATTCCCCTTGGGACAACCGAGATCCAGGCAGCAAAGGCTATCCCCTCAAGCTGCTTTTGTGAGTGAGTGTGGTTTACCTTTTCACAGGAAGAACAGACATTGGGATGCATATTCCACACTGGAAACAAACCCAGGCTTTTAGTACCGTAACACTGCACATGAAAAAGATATTGGAGAAATCACCTTACCATTTTTGAAGCTTCTGAAAATTGCCCCCAGGCTGGGGTGTTCGCTTAGGCTGAACAATAAGTAGCAGTGATGGGTGGAAAGTCTGCTCCAGACTGGTGAGAACATTGAGCATGACTCTGGATACAGGGACCACATCTTGACAGGCATCCAGAGAATTCTTCAATGAGTGAAGCAAGGATGAATTAGTTTGAATAGTTCTTTATTGAGCTGAGAATTCTATATTTGCGGTTTTCTATATTATAAGAAAGCTACTTTGGGCTGGTGAGGCTGGCTAAGTGGGCGAAGGTGTTGGCCATCGAGCCTGAGGACAGGAGTTTGATCCCCAGGATCCATATTGTGGAAGGAAAGAACAGAGTCTACAAGTTGTCCTTCAAACCCCACACCATGCATGTGCCCACCTCCACCCCCAAACAAATATATGATTGTAATTTAAAAAAAAAGCCAGGCTTGATGACACTTGCCTTTAATCCTAGGAGACAAAGAGTCAGATCTTGAATGTTTTCTATTGAGGCCAGCCTGGTCTACATAGTGAGAGCTAGGACAGCTAAGGCTATACAGAGAAGCTCTGGTGGGTTATAGGCCTAGATATCAATAGTGGAGCATACTTAGTGGGGATTGGACTGCCTTGTACATTTCTTCAGTGATGAAGTAGAGGTCTTGGAAGGCTTCGAAGAAGGGGAAAGGCTTGTTGATGGCATCTGCGATGTCCTGCTTCATCTGAATGAAGTGCTGGAGAAGAACCTCCTCAATACCCTTTATCACAATGAACATCCTGGGGAAAGAGGCAGGCTGAGGAGACAGAGGCAGAGGCTGTTCAGAGTATGGAGAGTTGTTCTTGTTGGAATGGGTACTTGAAGGTAGCCATCCCAGTCCTCAAGCATCCCTTATTGGTCTATCAACCCAAGTCTTAAAGATGTGTGCATACAGAAAACAAAGGCAGTGCCCAGTGACCACAGAGTCTGAGAGGGACAGACAGTAGCATGCCACCACCCTTAAAGGCATGTTCAGGCATGAAGTGGCTTTTGAAAATATCTGTTATTCTTTGAGTGGTTGTTATGTTCAGCCTTTGTTTTAGGATTTCACTGGTAGTAACTTCCTGAGTTCACAAAGTATGCATGATGCTCACTGTCATTGCAACTATGGTGCTGTGGAAAGCTCCAATGCAGACAAAGGTAGGGGAACTCTCATGCTAGATGATACAATGTGGACCGGGCTGAGGAGGTACCAAACCCTGACTTTCTGGTGCTGGTTTACAGTTGAATGAGTGCTTGACACTGAGCAGGATTAGAACAGATCACCACACTGCAGCTGAACCCATCCGGTACCAATGTTCTCAAGAAAAGGGACCACCAAATGTGGACAGCTAGAAACCTGGCCATATTTAGACACTGAAAAGAACCACATATTTTGACACAAACAGGTTACACAAAATAAAACCAGGAAGGATGTGAAAAATAGAATTGGTCAAAGTGATGTCACCGTTTGGATTTGAAAATCTGTTTCATTCTTCAGGACAGACCTGTGCCTTTTCCCATACTCATATGATAGTCATAAAAACCGACCACTTCCAGATCACAAGGAAATGACTAGTCAGTTGTCACAGGACCAAAACTTCCTAGGTGACACAGCATTGGCAAAGTGTTGTAAAAGCAGAAGACCTAGTAAACAGCGCCATCATCTGGGGAGCTCTTGGTGTTCGACAGTACTGAGGACTGAGCCTTTGTGCTTCTTTGGTAAGTGTCCTATCACTGAGCTATGTCTCCAGCTTACACTGAAGATTATTTTGTTTTATTTTAAAACACAAAGCAGACAAGGATACCCCTTTCATCTTTTGTTATATGGAATATTAAATTGTAATTAGTGAGTATTTCCAGGGATTTAATCCCATTGGCAAATTAAGCAGTTCTGTTCATTTTTACTAATTTCCAAATTCCTTAACCTTGGTAAAAAAAAAAGAAGGAAAAAAGAAGGAAAGGAGAAAGAGGAGCAGCAACATCATCACCCACTACAGGACTGGAAGACAGGACGATGTACCATCAGCAGCCTTTAGTCCTAGAAAATCCTGGCAGTTGAGGACAGGTGTGAGAGAAAGTTGTAGACAAAGCTCATGTGGGGGCAGGGGAGTCCAGGATGGACAAATACTCTGCGCTCTGTTTACGATGACTTACTACATAGCAACATTCAGACTAAGACAGTGACAGCGTTCTCATTTGTCACCTGCCATGGTTTCCAAATGATGAAAACCAGACCCCAGAAGGGTTAAGTATCAAAGCCCAAGAAAATCAATGGCACAGCAGAGTCTGCCTGGCGCTAATATTTTGGTTTTTTACTGTGCTAGGTACTGCATCTCAAACCCAACAAAATGGCTCATAATCTCTGGAGTCTGAGGTGAGCCTGGTCTACATAGTAAGTTCCAGGATAGCCAGAGCTATCCTGAAATACAAACAGAAGAAAAAAAAAGATACTGTATCTCATAGATACCTGCATTCAAATATTTATTATGTTAAAGGGTCTTACAAATAAATTAGGAAAAGACAAACACAGTAAGAAAGACAACGCCTAAACATGAGCAATCAATAACATAAGCCACGTGTACAATAAGTGCATTAAAATACAGCAAGTGGGAGTAGCCAGAAAAGTGGGAACGACTTGACAGTACATAGTCATATCAAAGTAGCCTACAGAAAACGGTAGTCACAATCCCTGATAATGGTGGAAACGTAAACCAGCTCAAGGGTTCCGTGCCTCATTTGGTAATCAGTATTATGAACCCTAATATACGAATCCCTTTGAATTTTCAAGCAGCAATGTATTTCAAGGAAATGAACATAAATTTACTAAAACAAAAGCCAAAACAAACAACCCCCTCCCCAAAATAAAATTAACCCGAAACCTCATGACAGGCTACAGAAACACTCTGTATTTTTCTCTTTCTCGTTAGCTTCAAAATTAGGCAAATGCCTGGTAGACGCTGAAGGCACCACCCACCATGGGCACATGCAGGTTTCAACCTCAGAAGCAAGCCCAGGAAACTGTCCCCAGCAGTTTTTAACTTTCAGAAAAGACACTGTGTCTTACCTTCCACTGCACGCCCCTCCCGGCCCCTTATTGACCCCCTAGTAGGTCTTAGGCACCTGCCCCAAAACTCTAGAAATCACTACTTTGTCAAGAGACAGCCTGGGGATCCTAAGGTCCAGCAGATAAAAGCTGATCCCCAAGAATGAAGACTCCAGCTTTGCAGAGCCCAAGAGCAGAGCGCACCTGGATGTTGGGCTGTCACCTGTCTCCTAGGTTCACTAAAGCAGCCAGGGATCCTTTTAGGAGATCCTGGACCCTGCCTGGAGAGGCCTTCTGGGAAATCTTGCTGCCCTGGCCTTGCTGTGTTGGATTTCTAGAAAAGAAAACCGAAAGAGATCTCAGCTCACAGAGCAGAAAGAGAGCAAGCCACTTCTTTCCAACACCCCCCACCCCACCCCCTGCACTCCTCCTCCTGGCCTGGTGAGGATCACCAATAGGGTTAGTAGTTTGGGTTACAGAGGCACTGCTGCGAATCCAGGTCCTTCTGGAGTATAGTGATGTAAGACTTTAAGACAATTCTGAAGCCATTTCTGAACCCTCTCAGCCTTCCTGCCTTAGTGCTTCCCCTCCTCCCCTGGGAACTAAGGACCTAACAGCTACACATGCACGTACTCAGTTCCTGAACAATTACCCATACACGTATGTTTTGACTCAATCCCCTGGGAAACGGAGTCAAAATGACCTCTTACCTCATCTGATCTGACAATAGCTCTCCAGCCAATTGTTGGTATTAGCCCTTCCCGAATAAGCCAATCATAATGGTCAAGGAACAACCCCTCTTGTTTCTATGGGGCCTTCTCTTTTAAAAGTATACTGTACCAGCTATTCAGGGTCTCTCAGCTTCCCGAATGCTGAGGGACCCTGTCATGACAGAATTAATAAAATCCTCATGGTTTTGCATCGGCTGTGGTGTATGAGGTGGTCTCTGGGGGTGACTTCTTCTCGGTTTGAACACTAGAGTTCAACAGTGACAGATGCGGGGAGCCTAAGGACCAGCCCTGTAGAACATGGGAAGAGGGTTTCCACTGTCTCCTTTTCAATCCGTCTCTATTTCCCTCATGACCTCGTTTTAATCTTTGTGGAGCATTGAAATGTTCTCAAACTGGATCGAGAATAAATTTGCTAGAAATCGTCAAATAGGAAAGAGCAATAACACTAACCAGAGCTGACATTTGTGAAATGCCTAGAGTTTGTCAGGATAACTAAGAAGAAAATTGAAATAAAAGGCAAGGAAGAGAAACCCTCCCCCACCGCATCCCCAGCAGATGAAGCCAGGTAGCTTGGTACTGCACAGCCCTTTGAAGATCCCTGAGGAACCTGAACCAGGGTCTTTGAGAAGCCTCAACTGAGAGTTCTGTGCAACTGTCTCACATTTCCCAAATGTATTGACCCACAGAGAACTTCCTCCCAGGACACCCACAAGGACTCCGTGGCTGTAGATTTGGACCAAGGCTAGCCCACATAGGAGAGAGCCCCTCTGTACTTCCTGTGGGCACATGGATAGGCACATTCCAGCCAAGTAGAATCAGAGCAGCAGGCTTGACCCAGACTCTCCCAGGGATGGGGACTGAGAGAGGAGGGGGTACAAGGCAAGTTCAAGTTCATGCAGAGTATGTGGGGGCATAAGGGCAGGCTTGTGAACCAGAAAAATGCCCCACCCCAAGAAAACTTTAGAGCAAGAAAAGCTATTCCAGTAGACAGATATAAATAAGGACAAAAGACGTCATTATATACCAACATACTCAAGAATATAGTATTAATGTTAAAACCTCTCCTGGTCATTCACACCAAGTGAGAGCCTATTAAGACTATATATTTTAGCACAGTTTTATAGATATGTTAAATGTATTCATCTAAAGCAATGATTTTGGTGAATTTCACCAAATAAAATCATGCCACAATGAAGACACAGGTCATCTCCCCAATTTCGTGTCCCCTGCCCAGAAAAAATACCCCTATTCTTGGCAAAAACAAATCCCTCCTGGACTACAGGTCCAGGTAACCACAGATTGACTGTTACACAGCTAAGTTTGGTATGAAAATGTCATATAAATAAATATTCATTAAGTGTACTTTTTGGTGTACGGTTTTGTTTGTTCATCGCTGTACTCTTGGGACCTGTTCCTGAAGGCCAGAAATTTTCTTCTTCAGCAGAGGTCTGACCCTTGAATTCAGCACAGGACTTCAGCCCTATCTACCTTGTCTTTGATGCCGTATTCTGCTTGTATTTCCATATTGTGTTTGTTGTTTGTTTCTTTTATTTGCAGTTTGACACTCCCTGACTCTGGAGCACTGAGAATGAAGGTGTGCACCGCCACTGTCTCTTACTCCTCTTTCGTTACCTTTCCACTTGAAGCTATTTTTCTAACTTACGGGAGGCTTAGGTGTAAGTGATAAAGTTGTACAAAATAAATTTAATACACTCAACTGTAGCATGAGGGCCTGTTTGTTGGGGTTTCTGTCCTCCCACCAGGTCCCACAGCTGATTGGCCCCAAAGAAAATCACAAAGAGAGTCTATACTAATGATAAACTGATTGGCCCATTAGTTCAGGCTTCGTATTAGCGCTTATAACTTATATAGCCCTTTATTCTGATCTATATTAGTCACATGGCTCAGAACCTTTTTCAATGTGGCAGGTCATATCTTGCTTCCTAGGTGGTTGAGACAGAACAGAGGAGGAATTGTCTTCCTCCTTCCCAGAATTCTCCTGTTCTCATTGCCCCACCTTTACTCAGTAACAGTAATATACCTTTTGACTTCAATTTTGAAGTCAAGATATTTTCAAAATACCTATCCTGGATTAATTCAGCAGCATCTATAAGCAAATATCTTTTAGCAACTGTTTCTCCTTTCTCAGCATTCCAAACAAAGAGCATAAAAACATACAGTATCCAGATTTTCTGTGTATTTTCCATCTTTATGTGGCTTTATTTTAACCTCTATTTCTTTTATTTTTAACTTTTACTTTTTGAGACAGGTTTTCTGTACATCTTTGACTGTCCTGGAACTCCCTCTGTAGAACAGGCTGTTCTTGAACTCACAGAGGTCTGCCTGTCTCTGCCTCCCAAGTGCTGGGATTAAAGGTGTGCACCACCATGCCTTGAATTAACAGAGGTTGGCCTGCTTCTGTCTACCAAGTGTTGGGATTAAAGGTGTGCACCACCACACCCAACTACTCTCTTTTTTTAATTTTAAGGACTTTAGACTTTAGCCTGCATATATATTTAAACACAGTAAACCATTAAGAGGTTTTTTTGTCTTTGAATCTCTCTTTACTGAATATCTCTCTTTTTCTGACCACATGACTTTTAAATTTACCAAGCAATATGAGTAGGATTAAAGCCATGGCTTTGATGACTGGATCCAGCCCATTCCTTAGCTTTCTGTGATTTCTGCCTCTTGGCGGAGGTACGGGCTGTAGCCATGTTTATTGCCACAACTCTATGGCATTTCAAGGTCCCCAGCAGCAAGCAAGTTGCAGCAGTGTCCTCACAAACTACAGCCAAATAATACAAATTCTGATTGTCTGACTGAAAGAGTCAGAGTTTGTCATGGCATGATGGCCAGCATTTTCAAAGGGCGTGGCTTTTTGCCTGCTATGGCTGAAAAACCAAAAAGCATGTGGTCAACTTTTCATCAACACCATTTAAGTGTTTCATGGCAGGACCTCTTAAAGAGCTGCAGGGTTTTGCAGCTAAAGCTGAGTCAGGAAGCCTCTCTTAGATGAGAGCTCTTGCTTGCCTCTAGGAAGCAGAGTAGACCCGAGAAATTGTTGCTAGCAAGAAAACATGCTTTAATCTACTCTTTCCCAAGCTTTCTCAGACTTTCTGTGGAGGCAGTTATCGACACGGGCACCATTCTGTAGCATGAGGGACTGCTTGTTGGGGTTTCTGTCCTCCCACCATATCCCACAACTGTTTGATCCCAAAGAAAATCACACAAAGAGTCTATATTAATGATAAACTGATTGACCCATTAGCTCAGGCTTCGTATTAGCTCTTATAATTTATATAGCCCAGTAACATGAGGGCCAGGCTTGTTGAGGTTTCTGTCCTGCCCAGTTCCCACAGCCTGCAAGTCCCAAAGAAAATCACACAGAGGTCTCCATAGGTTATAAACTGATTGGCTCATTGCTCAGGCTTCTTATTAGCTCTTGTAGCTTATATTAATCCATTATTCTTATCTATGTTAGCCACATGGCTCGGTACTTTTTTTCAGAGGGGCAGATCACTTCCAGCTCTTCCGTGATCTGGGCAGAAATACTGAGGGAGCTTCCTGCTTCCCAGAATACACTCCTGTTCTCTATGCCCCACCTGTCCCACCTATACTTCCTGCCTGGCCAATCAGCATTTATTTAAAATCTGATTGACAGAATACAAACAATTCTCCTACACTACCCATCCTTCAGATCTGTCCTGTCCTTGAGGGGCTATAGCCCTAGCTATGAATTCTGTCCACATCCTACAAGAAATTTCTTGTTTTCAAATAACTAGGTGAAATTGCTGAAGCCCTTTGTTGCCCAGCTCTCAAGGGCATACTTGAACAACCTATTCTGCCTGGGTTCTCTGAACTTCCTTTGGTTGGAGGAGGCAGGGGAGAGGGCTTTCTTGAGTCTCCCTACATTCAGAAGCTCCAAGAACTTTAGGAGGCCACACCTTCAGGCTTTTCCTAGTCTGGGGCTGAAATATCAGGTCCAACTCTATAGCTCTGGCTCACTAAGGTGCCAGGACAGTCACAGGTCTGAGAGATATGGACAACCTACTCTTCCTTGTCCTTCCAGGCACCACCCCAGCAAAGGACAAAGGAGCCACTTCCTTCCCATTTTCGCAGCCACCTCTTCTCAGACAGCTCTGAGCCCTGAGCTGACAGACTCTCCCACCTTTCCTTGGAGTGAACCAGGGATCCCAGTTTACTAGAAACTTGAGTTGTCTTTGCTCCTCCCCTCTGGGGAAGAGACTGGCCAGAGGCAGGATGGGGAGCGTGCAGAGTGAGGGGGAAGGGTGGAGGGGGGAAGCCCGCCAGACATAAGGGACCAAAGCAAGTGTGAATGCAGCCAAGTATGTCACAGCTGAGTGGGTTTCACTTTCTTTTTCCTCCTCTTTGAAGGACCTGGAAAGGGTTCTTTCTGAACATCCCAGAGGCTCAGAGGTGGTACACTCCTTGGCTCAGGGCACCTTCGGGGCTGTGTAGGGGATGGCAGGAGGGGACAATGGATCCAGTAGCAGGTAAGTCCTTTCCCTTCCCCTTGTCCTGTGTCTCTGCTAAGATCGATGTTTATTTGTGTTACTAGGGCCTCCCAGGCTGGGTCCATGGATCCACGGGAACTTGAGACAAGGAGATTAAGAACTGGGGCAAGCCAGGCAGTATTGGTGCATGCCTTTAATCCCAGCAAATGGGATGGAGAGGCAGGTGGATCTCTGTGAGTTCTAGACCAGCCTGGTCTAGAAGAGCTAGTTCTAGGACAGGCTTCAAAGCTACAGAGAAACCCTGTTGTGAAAAACCAAAAAAAGGTGTGTGTGTTGGGGGGGGCACAGCAGTTTTCACTGCTGTTGGCTAGCTATTGGAGAGTCCTATAGCCACCTCAACTCACCTCACTTCATTCTTTGCTCCTGCCACATAACTGGGCTGACACTGTGTGGACTTCTGGGAGCTCCTGTAGGAGTGGCTGGTTCATTGGGGCTCTGACCACTCATCTTTCCCTAATTATCATTTTGAAAGATAACTTTGTCCAAAAATGATCATTAAGACAAACTGAAAACCTAATTCCTTCTGTTGCCAAGTTTTTCTCAGTCTGAGTTGGGAACAGTTGAGCTCTGAGTCCTCCTATGTGGCTTAGGTCAGTTCATGGAGGAAGCAAAAGGTGATGAAGACCAATGACTAATGGAAGCAGATGCAGAGTGTGTGCTGTCTTTAAGCCTTAAACTTTTTTTTTTAACCTATGCTGGCTACATAGTGATTAGAAATGGATCGAAATTATCTAATACACACACATGGGAAGAGGGACTGGAGAGATGGCCCAGTGGTTAAGAGTTCATAATGGGTTGCGTCCCAACACCCATCCTGGGGCTTCCAATTGCCTCTGACTCCAGCTCCAGGAGACCAGACATCCCCTTAAGTCCCCCAAATGCACTGAACTTCCATGCCGGAGACACACATCGAGACAGACACACATACACAATTGCAAAAGAAAATAGAAGAATTAAGACAAAAGTGTATGGAGCTAATTGTCCTCTAACAGGGGACTCAGTCAAGGCTACTTCTGGTCCTGCAACAGTTCTAAGAAAGCATCGTTTCTCTAATGAAATTTGGTCAAATCCAATAGTGATACTGACAGACTGCTGTCTCTTTTGGGAGTGGGGTGGTATAAATTACTGGTTCAATTTCTTTACTACAAGTCTGTTCAGGTGACACGTCTCTTCGATAGTGAATTTTGGTAGTTTCAGTTTTTAAATACATTTGGTCATTTTTGTTGCTGCCGTCAACCAATCTGTAGATACAGGGATGGCTGCTCTATCGTCTCTGCTGCCCTTTCAATGTCTGAGGAATTCATAGCTTGTGTCTTGTTGTTTGTTTGTTTGTTCCTTGTTAACCTGACTAGAGATATAATTTAAAAAGATAAAGACAACTTTATCAATATTTCCAAAGGAGTAGTTTGGTGTAAGGATAATGCTAACTCATTTTAATTTTATGAACTTCTACATGAATTTTTATTCCATTTTTTGTTTTCATTTAGGATGAAATTGCTTTTCTTATTTTTCCTGATTCTTCAGAAGATTTTAATATGGACCTCTCTTAGATTTGATCACACATTTCATGCTACACATTTTCCCCGAGCCACTGTCTTTGGTGCAAATCAGCTTTAATTTTTTTTTAACTTCAGAGCAGGAGAAAGGGCCATCTTTTTACCTGTTTACACCCATAGGGTTTTTTTTTTATTTTGAAATTACATTCATTTATTTTATGTGTGCAAGTGCATATATTATATACACAGTGTGTATATTAAGATCAGAGGACAACTTGTGGGAGTGGATTCTCTCCTTCCATCATGTAGGCCTCGGGGATCAAACTCAGGTCCTGGCTTAGACCTGGCTCAGGGTCTTTATCTACTGAGCCATCTCACCAGCTCCTAAAGTGACTCTCTTTTCCTTACAACATTAGTTGCAGTTTTCAAATGTATTCTATTTTTAGTGGTTATATTTAGACAATTCACATTTAGACTGATTATGAACACAGGGCAACATCTGCCACGTTTATGAATAATTTCGTTTTACTTTTTTCGGCCTTCCTTTTCTGTAGCACCAACTCTAATATTCTCAATTAAAAACCTGGAATCAGATAGTAGGGGGGGTGACGGCTGAGAGATCAGAAAAGCAGTGCAGCCAGCCGCTAGAGAGACCTTTGACCTCTGTCCCTAGACAGCGTCCTCTGACTACATCCACTCTCCTGTCCTCCCACTTTACATTCCTCTCTCTGCCTAGCCATATCCCTGTCTTTCTCTACTGCCCTAGTGCTGGGATTAAAGGTGTGCGCCACCACCGCCTGGACTCTAGTGGCTTAGCTCTGCACTCTTATCTCTAGGCAAGCTTTATTGATTAAAACACAAACACAATATCACTACACTTTCTTTTCAGGTTTTTTTACTTACTTTAGTCCACAGCACTTTATGATTCTTTTTTCCTTGAATTCCTTCATCAATTGTTTTTTTTTTTTCTTTTTGGTCTTGTTTTGTTTTTCTTTTTTAGTACTGGAGATTTCTCTGGGCATCCTCTTGAGAATGATTTTTGGAGAAACCGTTGTATCTTACAATTCTTTGTTTTTGCTAAACAGTCTATTTTCTTCACTGCTCATTGCTTTGCGGCATTTGTAGTTTAGTTTTGACACCATGGCACTCTTGGGTTTCTGGTTAATTTGCTGCATTCCTTTAGTTTGGTCGCAGCATCCAATGTGAAACTGCACAGTTTTAATTTACCTTCTGTGAAATAATTCAGCTCTAACTCCTGGTTTTGCTCCAGTTCACTTATGAGGAGCTGGGTTCAGATCCGTAGAACCCACATAAAATCTGGATGTGGTGAGGTGTGTTTTTAACTCCAGAATTAGGGCAGTGGACACAGTTGGCTCTCTGAAGTTCACTGGCCAGCTAATCTCTGGCTGAATTAATGATATTCAGGTTCAGTGAAAGATCTTGTCTCAAAAAAAAAAAAAAGGTGAGAGCACCTGGACCCCTTACCCCAATACCAGGCACATATACATGAGCACACACACACACACACACACACACACACACACACACACACAACCTCCTTAAGTTTAAGATAGAAATTATTGTGTAATTTTGTTATTATATTACATGTGGAATATAGACTCTTTGTGAAACATAATGCTTCTGAAGATTTTTGACATTGGATATCTTTGATACCCTTTGTGTTTGTTTGTCATGTAGCTCTGACTAGCCTGGAATTCACAATGTAGACCAGGCTGGCCTTGAACTCATGGTGAACCTCCTGCCTCTCTGCCTCTGAAGTGTTGGGATTAGAGGTGTGCATAACCACACTCCCTTTTTTCCTTAAAAATTATGGGGAGTGTCTAAAGCTAGTTTTCTGGGTTAAATCTAATATGAGTTACTATTAGATTTATAAGTAGTTATAAACTTCAGACTTTTAGAATATTTATTCTTAAAAGTAGTAGCAACAGGTCAATGACTATCACAAGTAATGTATTTTTATGGAAAATAACAATATTTTCTAAAATAACAATAAAGGAGAGGATGTAATCTTGCTTTAAGTTCTTGAAAATGCCTTTACTCTCCTGTTTAGGCAAAGTTCCTAGATGTCCCTGGTTACTTCTGTGTCTAATCTGCTATGATGGCATAGCCCAGTGAACCTCTGAGAAGCGCGCTGGATACTTTCGGGAGAAGGAAAGAGATAAAGAGCAGATGGTATTTCAGTATTAGTCTGAGAAGAGCGTGTCCTCAGTGACATCTGTAAAAGTCTTGAGCAGTGTCAGTGTTGGTCAGATTATGCCCAGAAAGTCACCATTCTCAATGATTTAGCATTTAGGTGACATTTTAAACATTTTTTTTTTTAAAAAAGTTGTACCCTGAGTGACAGCACCAGTTGATGTGCTGGTGTGGATGGGGGAGGGCCTCTCACAAGGCTCCACCCCTAGGTGAAGAGCTACAGGGAATTGATGGCTTCTGAGAAGGCGAGAATTAACCAGTATCCTCCAGGGATGACCTCGTTCTGTTAGGTTGTCCAGTGCCTAGTGGTCAGCCCTAAACACATATGCATAGGAATAACACTAAAAGATCTCAGCAGATTCTATCAATCTATCATCTATCTGTCTGTCTGTCTATCATCTACCTATCTCGGTATATGTATTTGCATAAATATATTTGTGATAATAATTAAAGAAGGTATTTGAGGGAGAGTGGATAAGGAAAGCATGGGGGACTTGAGGGAGAAAGGAAGAAGTAAAAATGATATAAATACAGTATTTATGTTTGAAATTTTCAAAAACATGATAAAATTCTAAAGTAAACAAAAGGCAAAAAGAAAAATGTGCCCCATTTTAATGTTTTTTATGTTTTTATTCATTATTTGGGTTAGTGTACAAAATAGTGGAGCTCATCATGACATCTTCATACTTACGTATCATGATTTTACTCTTCTCCTCCCCCACTTGCAGGAGCTGGTTCTCTCCTTCTACCCTGTGGGTTCCAGGGTTGAACTCAGGTCATTACACTAAAGGGCAAGTTCTTTGTCCACGGAACCAACTCATAGCCCTCCTGCCATGTGTTTTGTGGTAGAAATTTGCTGGTTGGTATTGATTTCTTTTTTTCATTATTTGAGACAGGGTCTTGCTATATAGCTCAGGCCTGCCTCGAAGTCACTAGGTCAGGGCTAACAAATGACTCAGTGGGTAAAGGAGCGTCCCAGGCAAACCAGGCAACCTGAGTTTGATGCCCAGAACCCGTAAAAGAGTGAAAAGAGAGAACCAACTCCACTCCACAAAGTTGTCCTCTGATCTCTACATGTGCCAATACTGTGATGGTGGAAATACTCAGTAATATTATAAAGGAAGTAAATCACTATGTAGGCCATGATGATCCTTCTGCTTCAGTCTCCAGGATGCCATGACTACAGACCTTTGTACTATGCCCAGGTTTCTTGCTTCTGCCATTGTATTATCTGACATAATTTGTTTCCATTTGTCCGCCAGAATGGGCTCGATAGCATGAACAAACAGCTTCCAAGTCTCATTGGGCTTCTGGACCCTCCCTTCCCTCGAGGGTCCTTTTTCTGGACTCTGTCTTTGGGCAGAGAGCAGCAGCACCTGCGATGTTAGGCACCATAGCTGAGGACGACATGGTTAATAAGCGCTGGTTCTGAGTTGTTAGAGAGACCCCCACCCATCACTGCAGGGAAGTAGGGAGCAAGGAGGAGAGAAGAAAACATGTGAAACATTAGAGGATGAGCCACTCAGTGTGTGCTTGGATAGAACGCTTTCTCAGTCCTGGATCAACCTCTTATCAGTTTTGCCCTCACACATGAGCTGGAAGAAGAGGATGTACCAGTCTTTGCTGTTTCCCTGTACCTTGCCGTCAATGGATTGTTCATTTCTGTGGCTGTGATAAGAGACCCTGACACAAGGTGACCTGGTGGAGAAAGAACTTATACTCTCATAGGTCCAGGTTACCGTTCATCATTGAAGGGAAGTCTAGGCTTCCTTGCAATGCTTCCTTGAAGCCACTGGTCATACCCATAATCCTGAGCAGAGAGAAGAGAATGCAAGAGTGCCTGTGAGTGTTCAACTTATTCCCGACACTTAAGGCTGCCCAGGATCCTCCAACCTAGGAATTGGTGCTGCCCACAGTGGGCTGGATCTTCCCCTAGCAATTAGCATAATGAAGACACACCCAGACTGATGGATCCATAGACCACCTTAATCTAGACAGTCCCTTACGACTCACACAATCTCAGATGATTTTAGAGTATGTCAGGTTGAGAATTAAAACCAATCATTGTGTTGAGTATAGTGGAGCACTCAGGAGAATCTCTGAGGTTAGCCTGGTCTACATAGCAAATTCCACGCAAGCCAGACTTACAGGTGGTAGCCTGACTCACACAAATAAAACCCAAAGCATCACAACTTGCACCACCATTTTAGATGTTTAAAGTTTCAATTGTACTTCAAATTGTTCCTTTAAGTGGACCATCCTTCATACCAGAAGTTATCCAGTCTTTGGTAGCCTCTGTAAACCAGTTTCTATTTCTACATGAAATGTATCCCTTAGGGCAAGCTCAGGGTACCTGAGCGAAGAGGAGTCAGCTGACTATGGGCTCATCTTCAATCACTTCAGAGAAAATAAGGTGGAGATCGCGAGCGCCATCACCAAGCCCTTTCCTTTCCTTATGAGCCTCCGAGACCGTGGCTACATCTCTGAGCAGAAGTTCCAGGTGAGTGAGGAGAAGGAACTCAGCCCTGACAATAAGTCTGCCCTGTGCTGTATTCCTTTGAACCTCAGGATGCTGCCAACAGGCTGAAGGGCCTCCAGGGAGTGGGGACCTCCACTTCTTGGAAGTCAGAGGTGACAGGAAAAGCAGGCATCACAAGAAATATTCCTATAGGTCCTTTCAGTAATCGGGGCTGAGGCACATGATGACAGGGGATGGATGGGGTGTGGGAATGCTCTAAAGGGAAGGGAACCCCAGGTTTACTTGTGCAGTGTAACAACAGAAAATAGAATGCAAGTGGACACGTCCAAGAAGTGCTTCCTTACAAAGTTTACTTATTCCAAATCCTGGAGCCTGAGAGTTTTGAAAGTCACAGGCAGTTGGGTCACGTGAGAAAAGAACCAGAAGTCATGCTTGCTTCTCTCTCTCCCAATTGTTCCTTGTTGTTCCAGCACCACTGAGGCACTAGAATGTAGTAAAGGTTGGTGACGGGGTCCCCTGGGGATAATGACAACAAGCCTTTGCCCTATGGCCAGGATGCTCACTTGGTTGCCTTGAGCCCTGCAGACCAGGTCAATCTCTGGGGAGTTACTGTCTGGTCCCAGCCTCTCATGGCCTGTTAAATTCACAGTGAAGCATCTTGGCCTGGCTCTTACAGACACATCTTTTGATTATTCTTCAGAGCTACTCTTTCCTGTCAACTGTGTGTCAGCACCAGAGCTGCTCTCGGATAAGCACGGGTCTGTCATTACAGAGAGGACATGTAAGATGTCACCTGATCAATGCAAAACTCAGACACTTCACAAGAAATCAAATGGCATTTGAACCACTCTAAGCCTCTCTTATAAATTCATAAATCCGTTGTGACATAATTCTTCCTTCAATATTTTTAAGAATTCTCAACAAAGTTGTGAAAACCTGATCCCACCGGAAAGGGTAGTGTATGACATCCTCAGTGACCTACAGAACGAGTTTAGCCTATCGCTTCTCAAAGTGATATTCAGCGCGACGCATCTGAAGGCCTACCCAGACTTAAAGGAGACTCTAAGAAACTTTCCAGATGGTAACTATAGCTCTCACCTGTTTCTGGGAGTTCAAGGCAATTTCATTCGTTCATTCAATTACTCATTCATTTTTTTTCACTGATAGTTATCATAGAATTTACTGAGGGACTATGACATGCCAAACCCAGGGCTAATGTAGGAAATACACATGGCCCATGTAGTCAGGAGCTTACACATAGGCCATGTAACATGGGGATAAGTGTTCAGCTCGAACCTGTGTTTCATATTATTAAGACACACTATAAATGGCAAGTTTCCTTAGAAAGGAGCAGGGTCTCTGATGCTTACAGACATGTCCAACAATAAAAATATGCCCCTTGCATCAGAAAATTTACCATTCAATGGAGTCCTACATCAACTTCCTTCTTTGACAAACATAGACATCACAAGGGAAACCCCTCTTGGACCCAGGTACCAGAGAGGGCTCTCTGTGTCAACGTAGAGTATGAAAAGAAGGTGGGCCTTTAGAGTTGAGTGACTAGGATCACTGAATATGGTTCTCACGGGAGATCTTGGGGACATGAGGAGTGTGCTGAGCCTGATACAAAGGTGAAGCAGAGAGATGGTAGAACTGGAGCCTGTCACATGGAGATAAGAGCTCTAGGGTCAAAGGAAGCTCAGAGATGAAAGGAGGATGTGCTTAAGAGCATTGAGATCAACAAGGAAGAAAAAGGCTGAGGCAGGCATGATGCTTTATATTGTAGAAGAACAGCACTGGGGACCAAAAGATGAGAAGAAAGTAATAGGAATGAGCAGAGAGAAAAGAGACAGAGCAGGACTCTAGGTGGATGGGAGCAAGCATCTCACATGAGATGCTGAGGGCCGGCCCTCTGGAAGAGTGCTTGGAGGTCTCTGCCTCAATGCTGTCTGAATCGGTCATTGTCTTATTTCTCTTCAGGGTCCAACAATCATAGGATAAATGGAAGAGATGCTGATGAGAGGCCCAGACTGCTGGGAGGTGTTACAGAAGGTGATTACGTTCTTAGATTGCAAATTACCTCACTGATGCTTTTTACCTGTCTTCACCCTTCTCGCCTCACCATTCCCAACACATGCACAGGCACACGCACATGCAAGCATACATACACACATGCACATGCATGCACACACAAAGCACACATTTGTGCACACATGCACACACAACACACAAAAATACACACACACACACACACACACACTTTTGTTCTGCTTGTGGTTGCTGTCCCCAGTGGGAGACAAGAAAGGAAGGAGGGTGAGTCTCTGAATAGAAGAGCTTTTGGGTATTTAAAGGGTACAAATTCATAAAAATAGAGATTAGAGGCAAGAACAGGAGATTCCTAAGCAGACTTGAGTTTATCTAAATCAATGTAGCTTAATATATAGCCATGTGTCACTTAATAATGGGAAGAATTTCTGAGAAATGTGTCATGAGGTGAGTTCTTTATTGATTGACACTGTAGAGTGCTCTGCCCCTAAAGATTCCAGTTATTGGGTCACTCACTCACTGATCATATCAGCCTATGTGATGTTTGTCTTAACGTGGTCCATCCTATGTTAAAATGTTATCATACGTCACACGAATGTGTTCTCAGGATGGAGTCTGATAAGAAAGTGAAAAATTTAAACACATTTGCTAGAGATCACATAGGAACAATGAAATGTGGCATTAGGGGAAATGTGCAAAATCTATAAAAATAGATGAAGAGAGGGAAGACAGAAATGGAAAGATAGGGCAGCAGTCAGCAAGAGAATGTCAAATCGATGAACTCCATAAATAGATGCATGGTGTAGAGACAGCAGTGTGGGAAGATGGTGCTGGAGACGGGAAAAGGAGATGGGGCCAGGTGAGCTGCTCACAGACATTGGCAAATCTTGGAGGTGCAAGCATGCCCACTCTTAGGCAGTGACTTGATACTCTCTCAGAGTCCCGCCTATTCACATCAGGTATGAATTCAGGTCATTACCAACTGTCTTTCATGTTTTTTTCTCTTTAATGACCCAGAAACCTTCTTTACAATGAGTGGAGGAGGCAAATCAGAAGTACAGAAGGTGACACAAATTTCTTTTCTCTTTTAATTAATTAATTTTATTTTATGTGCCCTGATGTTTCACCTGCATGTTTTCTGTGTGAGGGTGTCAGACCTCTGGAACTGAAGTTGTGAGCCACTGTGTGGGTGCTGGGAACTGAACTCAGGACCTCTGGAAGAACAGTCACTGACCTTAACCACTGTGTCATTTCTCCAGCCCCAGTGATGCAGATTTCAATGACCTATTTTCTAAGTAGCTTTATTTCCATTGTCACAGAGAAGAACCTTCATTCCTTTTACCTCCTTTCCTGTTCACCAATCTGTCATCCATGTACCAACCCAGCCATCTAGTTATCCATCTACTGCTGATCTATACATCTACCCATCCATCTATGCACACACCCACTGACTCACCCACATACCAATCCACCTGTCAGTCTGTTTACTTGTCTATCCGTCTGTCCATCTGTTCATCCATTCTTTCAACCATCCATCCATTCATCTTTCCAACCCTCCATTCTTTTCTTTTCTCCCACCCCTCCCCACAGATGGCCAGATTATGTTTAGCTTTTGAATTGTTTTCAGGAGACACAATCAGGACAGAAATCAAAATTCAGCCTGGTTGAGATTTTCTTGAGTACAGATTGTACATCAAGAGAGGGAAGCTGAGAACTCCAGATGGAGCCATCAAATCTGGGGCTCTGAGTGATTGCTGGTTTTACCTAAATAGACATGGAATCGTAATATCACCATTTTGGGTACAGTACTGAGGAGGATTGATCCCCTTTAGCTACTTTCCCTTTGGTTGGGAATGGGGAGTACAACTGAAATTGATAAAACCCTTGGAGAAGACCTTTGAAGAGGACTTGGCAAGGTCCTCTTCTTTGTCCACGGTGAACAAGACCTTCCTATGACATGAAAGGATTATAAAACAGAACATGCAGAAAGGGCAGAAAAGAAAGGTTTAGATTCAAATTTAAGTTGGAAAAACCAAAAACAGCAAGTTAACTAAAGAAAACAGACTGAACTAGAGAAATGAGAACAGTGTGTGTGTGTGTGTGTGTGTGTGTATGTGTGTGTGTGTGTGTGTGTGTGTGTGTGTGTGTGTGTGTGTGTGAGCTAATCTCAATTATAAAACAAGGCACAGAGTTTAAAATGTGGCGAAAATTATGTAAAGGGAAGATGCTAATAGATGCTAATAGGGGAGTCATCAGACCTACACACAGAGAAAAGATAAAGAAGAATGAACTAAAACCCAGTAGAAGGCCAGTTAAATGGCATGTGCTCTCAAACTTCATGACCTGAGTTTGATAAAGAGAGCTGATTCCTGTAAGCTGTCTTGTGGCCTCCATGTATGTGTCATGGTATGTGCAACACTCTCCCATTCCCATATAAATACGATAACAACAACATCTACAATGTAATAATAACAATAAAATTTTAATTCAATTGAGAGCAAAAATTATCTTCATGGAGAGAGAAAACAGATTGAGACACTGAAGGGCCTAGCCAAACCCAACTCTTGACTTAAGGTGAGCATGTTAACTGTGAGTTTTCAGATTATTGTCGCTAACATTTCAAGCAGCCTTGGAAAATGTGCAAGGGTGATCAATCTCTCCCAGGCACTCTTATCTGCTCCCATCTGTAATTCCCAAATACAAACCCCAACTTGCCTGTCAGTTTCCTATCTGCAGGCTTGGATGTCTTCACGCAACTCTCTCAGAGACTCCTCTATCCAGATGTTCTTCAAGAAGATGCTTGCACAGTTGCCCATAGTGTCTGTTTTGGCAGCGGACCTGCCTCCTTTGCTGGTGACTCTGTCTCAGCATGGGTTGTTAGTGACTGCCCCTCACCAGTGTAGCTCAGTCTTCCACGTATCACCCCCCTGTCCATCTTCTCCCTTTTCCAACAACAAAAAAATCATCTCTCTCTCTCTCTCTCTCTCTCTCTCTCTCTCTCTTGCTCTCTTATTTTTATTTATATTTATATGTATGAGAGTTTTGCCTGCATCTATCTGTCTGTCTGCACCACACACTTGATTGGTGTTTAGGAGGACAGAAGAGGGTGTCAAACCCCTTGCCTCTGAAATTGCAGACAGTTGTGAGTTTCCAAGGGACACTGGGAATTGAACCTGAGTCTTCTGGAAGAGCAGCAAGCACTCTTAACTACCGAGCCTTCTTCATAGGACCCCCCTCGACATCAGATCTCTTGTTTTTACCTTAAACTTCAGAAACAGTCCTTAGTCTCAGATGCCTTTCCTCACTCAGTCTTGCTCCATCAAATGCATTGTCTCCAACTCTACAAGACACTCAGACATGCAGGTGGCACACCCTCCTCTCCCCTTTAGTTCAACAACTTCTTGCTGTCATAAGAATTCTGTTCATTTTCCTCCCTAAACTTCCCACCTTCCTGTCTGCCTTTCTTGTTCTTCAAGAGAATAGATTGTATAAAACTTTCTTAGTTACTTTGACTCCCTGGTTCTTCTTGAACCCTTTGCCTTTTTGTGTGGAACAGGGAGAAAAGCTTGTGACTCCCATTTGGAAGAACCCGATTCTCAGGAGTAGACTATGTGGATGCTTTGTTCATGTTGACGTAGTGGCTGCTGGGGAAAGACGGTGCCTTGCTCTACTCACTTTTTGTATTGCACAGTAAATGTTTCCATTTTGATACCTTGTCCTCCTTATTTTCTTATAGTCCATTAGCTTCCTGGTTCCCACCTGAGCAAACTGAGGTCCCCCTGCATGATTTGTTGTATTCTTCTTTCTTTTTAGCCTCTTGTATTCCTGGAAGTTCCCAAATGAATGATGAACAGACAGAGGAGGTACCTAGCCTCCCACAATGCAATGGAGGTGAGTGAGCCTTTACTTACCAGTTAGCTAGTGAAACTGCAAGAGATAAGTTGTCTTCTCCCCTTTCCTTACCCCCCTCCCTTACCCTCTTCTTTATATTCTCAGAGAAGAAACCATAGAGGTAGCAATGGGGGTCAGAAATAAAGGGGAATGAGGTGTGCAGGAAAGGAACAAATTGGTGGCCAATGTTCTGCCTCTGGTGACCTAGGAGTCATGTTAGTCTCCCCTTCAGAGTCCCAAAACAGAGACCTTCATTCTAGGAGACACTAAGCCAGCTTGACTTTCCTGGTTGTCACTGGTCACTTGCCTGCTGTGTTTTTCCTTGGCTGTTTAAATCTACTGAGTCTTCCATTCTTTTCTACAGAGGGAAGTAGTTCTTGTGAACGAATATTTGATGAACAAGAGCCCCAGGATGACACACCCTCTTCCCCACCAAGACCTGAAGCAGGTGAGCAAGGGGAGTGTGGTGTGGTCTGCAGGGTTTTGGACACTGAATTCTGAGCTGGTGTTTTCTACTGCATTTGTTCTACACACATCATGATGAAGAGATGTTCATGCCTTGGCTATTATTCTTCATATTTGCCCACGGCATTCTGGGGAAAATTCAGGGAGGAAAAAATGTCTTGAGAAACATCATGAAGGAATATTATTTGTGGTTATGTACTCACATATCTCTTTAGTAGGAATCTGCGGGGCCAGACAACACTCTTTGCCTTTGTCTTTCCACAGGACTAAGGCCATACTATATCAAATCCATAGGACAATTTCTTGCTCTCATTTCTTATTTTCTATGGAAACTAGGAAGCTTATAACTTATAACTTCTATGCAGGCTGATCATTTTTGTTGTTTTTTTCATAAACTTGCTAAAGTGCTCAAAGAGGTTGGGAGAGTTCAACTGTTAAAGGCTAGGCTCACAACCATATATATACTACAGGCCCATAGTATCTGGCAGACTTTTCCATGAAGCAGGAAATTTCAAAGTCAGTTCTGCCTATATTGGCAGTTTGTCAGTCACGTTCTTCTGTGTCCTGCAGAATGTCTGGCAGAATCTTTCATGAAGCAGAAACCCCGAAGGATCATCTCACCTTTAGGCAAGTTCAGCAGTCATTTCTCTGTGGGTACTGCATGTCCAGTTCATTGAGCAGTCCAGACAAGAGCAGTTTCTTGTCCAGTTGGCTAAACAACTCCATAAGGAGCCTCTTTGATGCCCATCTTCCTCTTGAAGTAGCTTGTACTGCCAGGAGCAGATGTGTCTCATTGTCATGAAAAGTTCTAAGTTATTAAAACATTTTAAATGCCATATTCTGAAGGTCTCTGAAAGATTTGAAGAATACGTATCTAACTGAAATATATCTCTATACATATAGAAAATCTAACTAACATGACTACAAGCTTATAGTCATGTACTATATATATAGTACATTATATATAATATATTAGTATATATAATATAATATAATAGTATATATAATATACTATTATAGATGAGTATTTATTAAGTTATATTTCTTACTTATGCATTACATTCTTAAATGAATTACACAAACACAATACCTTAATCAAGGGCAGAAATCTACAGTGTAACCAAATTTACCTTAAATTTGTATCAATAAATCAATATCCGTACCAAAGCAAATTATTCATCTCTATAGCATATCCCTCTTTAAATGTAAACAAACAATTATGAACAATATTTGGGAATATGGGCATAGTTCTGTCCATACTGCTTCTTGCTGTTTGTGGGCACTGTTAATCAGGTCTTCATGCTGCATTCTGTGTGTTAGGTTCATCTCAGTCAGCAGTCAGGTGAAATAATTTTTTTTTGGAGGGGTGTTTAAGGCAACCTTCAGGGGGCTCTTGTTTCATCAAACCACACCAGTCTGGAAGCAATCTAAAGGTTCTCATCCTCTGTGGAAACAAGAGAAGAACCTCTTTTCCAAAGCATCATATCCTTAGACCCAAATTTGGAAGTCATGATACCTTTATAATATCCATGCTGGTTTAGCTTAGCAGCCCATACAATGAAATGTCTCTTTGCACTTAGCTCATTCACAGTCAAAAAAATAAAGATAACACAATAATATACATAATCCAGATGCTTATTTGGAAAAATGGAAAATGAATTTTCCATTTTTACATGACTTATTTTTCTCTACTGCTTTTAATTCTTGCCTATCTGTACTTTGTCTCTTTAAAGACTTTACTCTTTTTTAAGCATTAACTTTATTTTGTGACTCTCTATGCACTTTTTCCTTATATATATACAAATTTCTCAAAGAGGAAGTATTGAATCATCTGACTGATGTAATTTAATGAAACCCAAAGTTATCAATCAGTATTTTTCACGTTATTTGGGCACTTTCCCTACATTCTTTGACACATATGCAATCCTGTCTTCACTTTATTCTTAAAACCCTTAGCACTTTGTCAAGGGAGGAATTGTTAGAGTTGTAATTCTCTAGAAGTTTCTGGTCTGTTTCAGAACTTGACAATGACAAGGAGATCAGAGGTCAAGTTTCCAGATGGTCTCGCCTGGGCTCTAGGTGGTTAGATTCCCACAATCTAAACCCAGAGTTTATGTCTTTGCCTACTCAGGGGAGCCCACAAGGGTCCATCAGAAAGAGGTTTTACTTAGCAAATAGGGTCGCTTAAAGAGAGCAGAGGAAAAAAAAACATCACAGGGAAGTAGAAAGCATGAGAATGTAGTTTTGCATGAGATAGCAGAGTCCCAGAAGGATAGTGCTAGGAGCTATTAACACAAAGGCAATGTAAAATGTGGTGCATACTGCAGAGGTTAAGAGGACAGTAAACGCTAGGGAGAGAAAATCCAGAAAGCTAGTGAGAGGCACAAAGGCCTTCCCAAGCATTGTTGAAAATGGAGCTGCTAGGAGAAATAGCTACCACCTAGTGTTAACCAAGGAACAGCTATGCTTGTGAGTCCTGTTCTCTCCTGGTGGACTGGGGCTGGCCAGGGGTGCACTTGGCCACGGCATCATGTCACCTCCCAGGGCCACGTCTGGAGCAGAACCTGCCCCTCTGCTGCAGCAAGGCCACGTCCTGTTCCCTCTGAATGAACACTTGTAGAGTATATGTGCAAGCATCGGACTTATCAATTGATGAACCTTCATAAGTGACTGTAGGGGACTAGCTGATTTCTAGTGGGTGAGTAGAGTGTGGCTGTCAGAAGCATCACAATATGACTGGTCATTTGGCTATACAAATCCGTTTGCTGGACTCACAATTAGGATTATTTTGGTTACTTCTTCTTTATATGGTTAATGAATAAGGCATCTCCCTAGGAGTATGGGAACCTTTAAAGATTACTTTTTTAAAAAAAATTACGTGAATGCATGTATGTTTAAGTGTGATTTTGTGCAAGTGAGGAGCTCCCAGAGACTTGAAGAAGGTGACATATCCAGAGCTAAGTTACAGGTGGCTGTGACCCACATGCTATTGATTATGGGAACTGAACTAAGGTCTTCAGGAAAAGTATTATGAGCTCTTCACTGCTGAGCCATCTTTCTAGCTCTGATACAGGAATTTCCAGTTCTTAGTTTCTCCTTTAGGAAGTCCATCATTTGAGGCTTGCCAGAGAATATTGTCCTTACCAAAATTACCTTTTCTGTAAGAGGACACTGAGTACAAAATTCGAAGTCTCTTCACTGAGTAAGAGTTATAGGTCAGTTGTTTGAAAGAATTGTGTCTGCGGATAGGGATAGAAAAGAGAAGTTAAAATATTTTTAACTTAAGTTACTTACTGAAAATACTTTTTCATAAATTATCTTTTGATGTTATTATTTCCCCTTCCCCAACCCATCCGAAATCCTCTCTATATCCTTACCCATACAACTTCATGTTCTTTTCTTTCTTTTTTCTTCCTACTTTCCCTCTTTCCCTCCCTCCCTCCTTCTCTTCTCCTCTCTGTGTGTATACACGTGCATATCTTGTTTTCTCTCACAAAATCAAAATAAACACACAAGACAAAAAACACAAAAGAAAGCTAAAGAAGCACACACAGAAATGGTGAAGTCTGTGTTAGCCAACTACTCCTGACCACAGGGCCTGCCCTGGAATGTGGTTGATATACCCAGTGCCACTCTGCTGGGGGGAAATGAATTTTCCTCTTCTAGCAGGTATAAATTGCTAACAGCTTCTTGGTTAGAGGGAATTTGTACCCACTTCCTGATCTCAGTTCTGGGAGCAAAGTTAGAATGCTAACTATTCTACTCAGAAGGTAGAAAACTGTCCAGAGTTTCCAACTCATAATAGAGTTGTGGCCATTACAGAATCATAATGATTGAAGGTGATTCCAGAACAAAGCCTGGCTAATAGCCACCATCACTCATTGCTTTGAGGCAACTAGACAAGCTGTGGCCATGAGCAACAGGCCCCTGATGTCTCTCATGGTTTGAACTCATAGCCCTAGAGTCTGGCTGTTGGAGGAAGCTGTTATCTCATTCCTGGCTGCGCAGACTACAAAATAACTACTCAGAAACTATAATAGTTTCAATACTGTTTGGCCAATAGCTTAAGCATATTTATGGCTAACTCTTATATCTTAAATTAACCCATTTCTATTAATCTGTGTATTGCCATGTGGCTGCAGCTTACCAGCAAGATTCTGATGTATCTGTCTTCTGTAGGTGGCTACATTTCTTCTCCCTTACTCTGCCTATTCTCTCAATATATCTCTTCCAGCCTGGCTTTACTCTGTTAAACCATTGGCCGAAAGCAGCTTCTTTATTAACCAATGGCAATAAAGCATATTCACAGCATGCATTACTTTCCACATCACCTCCCTTTTCTGTCTAAATACAAAGGAAGGTTTTAACTTTAACATAGCAAGATTACATATAACAAAACAGGTATCAAGCAAGAATTATAGTTACAATATTTATATCTACTTTATCTCTTATCATAACTAAGAAAAACTATAACTATTCTTCAACTCCATCAAAGACTCCAGAAAGATATAGTATTACCTAAGTAAACAGAAGTGTATTGTAAGCAATTTCCAAAACTCTGGAATTGACAGAGACATCTTGCAGCCTGGACAGTCACCCAAAGTTCTTCTTTAATGTTGCGGGCACCCATCTTCAGCCTACTGGCCCATAGTATCCGGTGGACTTTTCCCATGAAGCAGGAAATTTCAAAGACAGTTTCTCCAATACTGGCAGTTTGTCAGTCACTTTCTTCTGTGTCCTGAGGAATGTTTGGCAGACTCTTTCATGAAGCAGGAACCCCGAAAGACTGTCTCACCTTCTTTCGCCAGCTACAGCAGTCATTTTTCTGTGGGTCCTGCAAGTTCAGGCAAACAGTTTAGGCAAGGGCAGTTTCTTGCCCAAATGTTTAACAAACTCATCAAGGGTCCTCTTTGATGCCTATCTTTTTCCTGAAGTAATTGTTGCTGCCAGGAGCAGATATTTTTCATTGTCATGAAAAGTCTAAATTCTTAAAACATTTTAAATTCCATATTCTGAAGGTCACTGAAAGATTTGAAGAATACCGATCTAACTAAAATATCTCTATGTATTTGGAAAACCTATCTAACATGACTACAAGCTTGACTATTATAGATGATTATCTATTGACCTATATTTTATAATTAAACATTGCATTTCTAATTGAACTTCACAAATACAATATCTTAATCAAGAGTATATATATAAATATAACAAAATTGATCTTAAATTTGTATCAATAAACCAAGATTCATATCAATGCAAAGTATTGATCTCTATATCATCTACCCCTTTAAATATAAACAAACATTTATATATTTTAACAATCAAACAGAATTAAAGGATTAGGATAATGTGGGTTATTCCAGTATAAGTAGTTGATAAAAGAGTATCTTTAAATCCATGAAGGTCTTCTCAGTTCTTGTCCTCCTGAAGAACAGCTCCAAAAATCCAACAAAATCTACCATAGGGAGATCATGTCAGAAATTATTGAGTTTCACTTTCTTAAAGGCCTAGTGAATTGTAGAAATCATTTTGCCTTGTAATCATTGTGTTCGAGTCATTTTTGGATACTATAATTTCTTTGGCTGATAGAGTGAGAAGATAAAACAGACTTTCACAAAACTAGAATTTGTCCTTATAAGTTTCTTCTCTGCTCAGTAACAGCTGCAAGGAAGTGACGTGTGTATTGGAACAGAGACGACACGCAAATCTTATTCATTATTTAACAAATTATGTTGCAAATACATGCTTAACTGGACATCCATATGTGATCTCAGTACCACAGGTCAGATTTCTGGACATGTTCAGTTTAGCTCCCTTATCAGTCTTTCCAGGCTGAAATCACCATGTCAGCCAGGTTGAGCTTTTCTCTAAAGACTCTGGGCGAATTCCTACAACCAATTTTATTCAGCTATTTATTTATTTACTTATTTATAAAATCCAGCCCCTTGTGGTTGTAGCACGGAGATGACAACTTTGCTGCTGGTTGTTGCCATGGATCATTCAGCTCCCCAGAGCTGCTCATTTTCGCTGACAGGAACCACCCTCCATCCTGAAGGAAGCAGGAGGTTCTGGAACCTTCTGCATGCTTCCACTCTCTGATTTTCTGTTTTGCTACCAGCTGGAAAAAAAACCTTCACTGCTTGTAAAGGGCTTATTTGATTAGACCAGGCCTATCCTGAGGCCTACTCTCTTTTAAGGCCAGCTCTGCCACATGACCTAAGCTAAGCACACGATTAGTAGCTTATCACGTTCACAGTTTCCAAGAGTATGGAAAAAGCTCTTAGAGAACCATCTTAGAATTCTACTTACCACCAGAGAGCTCAAGACACCCTATAGAAAATAAATGTCTGGATGAGCCACTGATTTCTCAAGCAAGTGACATTACAGGGTTCACCAAATAAAAGTAGACCATGAATGTGCTAAGATGAGAATGTCTCTCCTTTAGAAGAGACAGAGAGACTACCATGATCAGGCACTTTGGGGATGGGCTGAGGACCTGCACCACACCTAGGTAGGGGCTGGTGGCTCAGACCAATTATACAGGCACATGTACAGGCGAACCTTTCCAGACCTCTGAAAGATGTCTGTGTTTGCTTAACCTGGAGGTTCATTTTGCAGAAAAGTCTCAACCTCAAGCTTACAGGGGTTTGTCAAAGAATGCAACGTTCTCCAGAGCATGGTCTGGAATGACAACTACTAGGTGGGACATGGGGACACTGGAGACCTCCTCTCTTGTTTTATAGAGGTACTTGACAAACATGTGGAGTTCCCCCATTGTAGAGTGGAATCATTAGTGAGCTCCTGCCGTGGATTAGGGGCTTGAGGCAGAGTCATTGTGAGAGTACAAGAAGGAAGTGAAAGTTCTGTTATAGGAGACTGCGGCTCTGAAAAAAAGAACCCCATGATAAATGGAAAGAGGATGCTTGGTTATAAGGGTGAAGAGTGTGTTGCCATGTGTGAAGTACTGGGGTTCTTGAGAGAAATAGAGGCTGAAAGGGGACACGTGATTGATTCCATGACAGTAGTTGACTCACGATTGCATACACAGTGAGAAAGAGGACTTATTTGACAGACTGACAAGCCCCCACATGTCTGTGAATGTCCCAAGTTAGGGTAGGACCAAGAGTCTTTGCACAGTTTGGCCCCTGACGGGTGGATCCACATTCATTAGCTTTTGAGAATGGCTTAGGTTGGGGACGTGTTCCACTTTTGTTTCTGTCTATTTGGTGTGTGGGTGGGTGGGGTCATCATCTTCCAATGTTCATAAAGAATCAGGAACAGACACAAGATAAAAGACTTTAAAAGTTAATGAGATGAAATGAAGCAAAAATAAACACAGAATAGTTGCTAAATACTGTACCTACAAATCAAGGCAGCAATTTGTTTTTTTAAAAAAATTATTTATTTATTTTACATACCTACTAGAGGTTCCCCTCTCTCTTCTTCTCCCGTCCCCTCCCCCACCTCCTTTCTGCCCTACCCTCCTATTCACTACTCTTCCATCTCCATTCAGAAGGAGTAAGGCCTCCTATGGTAGTCAGCAAAGCATGGCACATCATGTTAAGGCAGGATCAAGTGCTTCCCCCTTGCATCAAGGCTGCATGAGGCATCCCACCATAGAGAATAGGTTCTAAAGAGCCAGCTCATGCATCAGGGACAGGTCTTGGCCCCAACAAACAGATCAAACTACACAACTGTCACCCAGATGCAGAGGTCCTAAGTTAATCCCATGCCAGCTCCCTAGCTGTCAGTCCAGTCTCTGAGCTCCCACAAGCTCAGGCCAGCTGTCTCTGTGGGTTTCCCCATCATGATCTTGATGCTCCCTGGATAGCAATTTCTTAACATCAAATTGCATATGCATCTTTACCTAACCTAACTCAGAAATAGCACAACGAAACAAGTTGCTGTTGAAACCAAGTCACTTGACAGTGGTTTACGAACACTGTACCTGAGCTGTGTAGAAGAGGTCTAGAATTTACATTTGTAGGACACTCCCAGCAGGTCTTCAGAGGATCTTGGTGGGAACACCATACTTAGAAGTGAGATCATCAGTCCCATGTCTGAAGTGAAATGCTTGCTAATTGAAGGCCCTGGCGGGAGTGGGAAGAAAGATTGTGTTCAAAGCACATGGCTTCTAGGCCACTGCTAGGTTCACCTGGAGCTTAAAGAAGAAGGTAGTTCAGGGGCATAGACTCTACAAAGCAGAAGTGCTTAGCATAGGCTGCTATGGAGACATCAACCCAACGTTTGGAGGCTGACTGCTGCTGATTGGCTGGAATTTAAATTTGTATCATTGTTTCTGATTGGTTAGATTTCATATGCATCTTTAGTGATTAGGTAGTCATTGGCCAATTTGGGATGGGTTTGAAACTGGTAAAAATAGCAAAAGTTATCCTTTACTATTTTCAAAGAACAGTTTTATTTTTTTATCACAGAAGATAAGAACTTTGAAAATCTCCTTACAACTACATGTAGCAAATTAAAGGTGGAAAAATGGAAAATAATGTACATTGTGGAAAGAGATAGCTCCATTGGATCCTGGGTGTGACTGCTGCAGCAGGTTTTGTTTGTTTTTGAGTTTTTGTTGTTTTTCATTTGTTTGTTTGTTTCCCCAGAAAATAGCTTCCTCGTTCGTTCAGAATCTACCTTGCTGTGCAGTCAGAGAGCAGTGGGGGCTCTTATCTGTCTCTGTCTCAGGATCCACAGACAGTAATGCTTTAGTCAGGGTTACTAGCCAGAATGCTCAATCACCGGGTGAAGAATGAAAGAGACTAGAAGAGCTTGCTTCAAGCCTGCTGTTCCATGACAGAGAAGGCGCCTGTGACCTAAAATAATCACACAGATGCTGTTATGATAAAGGGGGCAAGACAGGAGAGCAAAAAATAAAAAAAGAGGAACTGAAAGTCAGACAAAAGGAGAATGTAAAAAACATTTTGGAGGAAAAAGAAAAGGCGGTGGTTCAGTTAAGATATAAAAAGGCCATGTGTCAGATGCTTGGGATGACAATAGAAGACCCCAGTTTAAGGCTAGCTTGGGCTAGAGTGAGTTTAAAGCCATCCAGGAAAATCAGTTGGCACCATGTTTAACAATGAACACAAAGAAAATATGTGAGGGTGTAACCCAGTGGTAGACTGCTTGCCTAGAATGGATGAGGCTCTGAATTTGGTACCCAGTATTGCAAAATTAAATAACAAACAAACTGATACCAACAATTTTGGCACAGGAGCAGAGCAATCCACGAGTGAAAATGAGATGTGTTCCTGTGTCATGTGTTCCCCAGCATTCGTGCCAGAGAACCCGGAAGCAAGGATGGGAAGCAGCCGTACAGGTAACTAACAGACAAGGCTGCACAAGGTTGTGGGTTAGGCATGGCTGAGTGAGTGCCACAGGATCCAGCTTGTGGTCCAGTCCATCCCTGAATCCAGTTCTTTGCACTTGCCCACTTGGAGCTGGAGAGAAGCAGGAACCCTTTGTAAAGCCACATTTGGAGTCAGTTGATCATATGTGGATGAAGTAGAAGCAATGCAGTCTTAAAACCGGTACTTACCTTGTCTGATACCTTGATGTACAGAATTGCACCCATTCTTCCCTGTCTACCAAGACAGCAGCTAGATAATGGAGTTGCTTTGTCACGGCCTTAGAAAGGACCTGATCAAGTATGAGCCCGCTGCTGGTGAGGAGGAAAGAGTTCAGGCCAACTCTTCTCAACCCAGTGTGCATTTCCAACCAAGACTCCTCAAGTGTGTCGAAGAACTAATCAGGGCTTGCCCAGAAATTTCCCCACAAAATTAGTATTTTATCTGTGCAAAAAAATATATTATGATTTAAAATGTCCCACTGGGGATGGGGGAGTCAAAAATGGTCAGCGTCCTCCCTGGATTCCCAGTTCTCAGTTCAGCAATCTTGAGTTCTTCTAGAAGGAGGAAAGGAATGATGATTCGAACACTGATGTAAGCAAAGCCTTTGGAGTATCCTAAGATTTGTAATTTCTCTTCATTATTTCTTACCTCATTGCCATTTATTGTTTTCTAGATACCATGGAGACTGGGAACAACCCTACTGTAAGAAAATCCAGGGGGAAGAGAAGTAAGGAAACGAATGAGAGTTTATGTGCTTTTGGTGTTGCTGATAAGTTATTTACTGCTACAATTATTATTGTTATTGTGTGTGACAATGGGGTAGACTGTGGTGACCTCACCTGAGTTCCTCCTTGCCCTTGGAACCTGTAATCCTAACGACAAAGACCTCCTACACAAATGATTAAGATAAGGCCTTGATTGGTGGGAACATTGCCTGACTGTTGGTGTAGGGGCAGCCACTCTGATTTTATGGGTCTGAAGAAGTGGGGAACCTTCTTTAGGTGGTGGCGCATGCCTTTAGTTCCAGAATTCAGGAGGCAGAGGCAGGCGGATTTCTGGGAGTTTGAGGCCAGCCTGGTCTACAGTGCAAGTTCCAGGACAGCCAAGGTTGCACAAAGAAGCCCTGTCAGGAAAAGCAAAACAAACAAACAAAAAAAAATGAGGAACTTTTCTTAAATACAGAGGGAGGAAATGGCTGTGGAGGAGTCCTCAGAAGGATGCAAGACTGTTGGGTCTGAGGATGCAGGAAGGGACCAAGGAAGTTGGGTGACCTTGAAGACCTGGAAAAGGCGAGGGAATAGGTCTTCTCAAGGAGCAGATGAAGGGTTGTGGACACTTAGATTTGAGACTGGTGAGATACACATCAGATATAGAACTGACATAATTGTTAAATAAACTCGTGATGTTTAAAGCTACTAAATGTTTGGTAATTTGTTCTCAAAGAAGTAAAGAGTAGTACATATTTTGGAATAGTGAGGAATTATGTAACAATCTTCATGACAGTGACAGACCACATATATGAGAGCGGTCTCATAAGATGGCATTACTGTGCAGGGTTGCAGTTGACTTAGTCTGTAAGTACATTGATGGTCACACAGCGAGAAGATTCTAACAACACATTTTTCAGAAGGTACCCCATTAATACGCAAAGAATGAATTTGCTGAAAGTGAAATATAGCCCTACCATATTCCTAAATATTCAGAAGTAGTATTGAAATAAGGCAATGAGGAGAGACTGAAGAATTTGTTTGTCATTTGTCTTTTTTGGACAGGGTTTCACTGTATAGCTCTGGCTGATCTAGAGACTGATGTGTAGACAGATCATGTTGGCCATGAACTCACACATCTGCTCGCCTCTGCCTCCTGAATATTAACATCAGAGGAAAGCCTCACTCAGTTGCTGGGCCCTTGAGGAGTAATTTCAAATTACTCAAATTAGAAAAGTCTTAGAATGCCCCCAAGCAGTGAATTCAAAGACTCAGGAGGAAGTGGCAAGCACTCTGGAGAAAACCTACATTCATTCAGTTCATATCCTCTTGATATTTGACCACATGGTCATTAACTAGGGCTCAATGTCCTTTGCAGTTCTTATTTAAGATAAAATTTATAGTGAAAGGCCCAAATCCTAAGTACACCCTTTGATGAATCCTGCTAACTGCATTATTTTTACAATAAAAACCTGATGGAGGGGCTGGAGAGATGGCTCAGTGGTTAATAGCATTGGCTGCTCTTCCAAAGGACCCAGATTCAGTTCCAAGCACCCACATGGCAGCTCACAACTGTCTGTAACTCCAGTTCCAGGGGACCTGACACCGTCACACCAATGCACATAAAATAAACAAATTACGTTTAAAATGTCTTATGGAGACACAGAACACAAACAGGAGCCTGCGAAGATTCTCTTTGTCCTTTCTGCCCCCTACCACATCAAGGGAGTCACGTTTTGTTCCAAGATGACTTGATTTAGGTTGATTTGCAAGTGCTTTATAAGTAGGATTTCCCAACATGCTCTTTGCTGTGAAGTTTCCCTCCCTCCACAGAATGACTTTGCAATTAACTCACAGTGAGGAACACAGTGCCAGTTGGCTCTTTTTATTGCTAATGAGTATATACATTGTCTGAATAGCCCAAATTTGTTTGTGAGTTTTCTTCGACGTTTCCCACTTGGGATATTATGAAGAGGCTTTTAGGAGCATCCTTGCAGAAGCCTCTCTGAGGCCCCGTGCTTTCATATTCTTACAGGGTAGAAGTCTTCTTATCCCTCTGCCGAGATCCACAAGGACTGTGATCCGAAGCAGGCCATGTAGATGCTGCACACACAGGTCTCTGTTGGAACAAAGGGCATGGCATGCCGAAAGTCCCTGTCTTATAAGGCAACGGTGGCAAATGTGACCTTTTCCCTGTGGCATTTAACAAAGTTTATAAAGTATAATTTCTGATTGTCTCTGACATCTCTAAAGTGAAGCTCTTTGTTTCTGTAAGGGGGAGATATGTGGAATGTCTGGCCTTCACACAGGTCCTGAGAAAACACGTCCCTAAAAAGACACGTTTATAATAGTTGGGTACCTCTAAACAAGACATTCTGAAATTACTAGGTGCAACCGAGAACAGATCATGTGACAGACAACAAAACCCACTTTAAGAGTTTATTGAGAGAGAGAAAGACACGTGCACAGGCCTGAGGAAGTTGGTGCAGGAAGAGAGAGTTGGACATGCGTGGAGGACGGTTAAAGGCTGCCTAGCACATGCGCACAGGGGCTAACGTAGTTGCATCATGAATAAATCATGTGACCACGCTACACATAGGTCACGTGGGGCTTGAGGGACCTGGGTGGCTATGTTAGTTGCCTGAGCTCTTGGTGGCACATGCATGGCCAGGGAACCTGGAAGTGCCAGCACTTGGGGTGGCTAGACATTTTGTCAAACTGCTGGGGGATGGAAATGATAGCATTTCACCCTTTCGTTTATTACAAAAATTTGGGGGGGATTGGAGGTAGCCGATGTGGGAAATGGGGTGTTGGATCTCTCGAGGCTACTTCCTGCTGGCTGGCGGGTGTCAGAGAATTAGGGTGCTTGGCCACATCTTGGGGTAGTTACTTCCGTGTTTTCCAGGCCCTGTGTAACTGTCTGGCTGGCAGTTTGGACCTGAAAAGATGCTGGCAAGGTAGAATATTATGTTTAGAAAAATTTTGATCCTGGTGACTGAGGGAGGAGGGCCCCAAGATATAGGATAGAGTGGGGTTCCCCAGGCTTCCAGAGATGGAGGAGGGGGCTTCCCAGGGGTCCCAAGACCAGAGAAGAATTAAATGATTCTTATTCTGGGTGACCAGGAAAGAGTTAAATGATACTTACCCTAAGCCAGTCTGGTCAGTTTGAAAGACCCCCCAGAGGGTGTCTATAACACTTGGAGACCCTTGCCCAAGAACCAAGTCCGAGTCACTGGATGCAAGAGCAAGAGGCAATTTTTATTGTTCTCACAGGGCCTGTGGGTGCAGAAGTCATGTGGAGGACTGAGTGCCCCGGGCCGGGTTTGGGTCCAATTTGGCTCTCTGGAGCTTATGACAATGTTGAAATTTATAAAAAGATAAATTTTAGACACATTAAAAACTCATGGTTATGATAGTATAGTTTTGGGATAGAAAATTATTGATAATTGTATAGTGAGAGAGGAGGGAAGAGAAGAAAGGGGAATTATTAGACCTTTTAATGTTTTACCTGGAGCAAACCTTAAGGCACTTGTTCCTTTTACCATCATGGTATTACCTTAATATCCAGGAAACACTGCTGTAGTCAGTGATAAACCTATTATGTCAAAAATATTTTGTGAGTCTCCCTTTGGAATTTGGGGTGCGAATGTCCCCAGATTATTACTGTTTTTTTTTTTTTTTACCATTTGGGCATCTGACAGTCTTTGCACTTCCAACTATTTAATGATAGTCCCTGTAACAACAGCTGAGTACTTAACTGAAAATTTAAGTATGACATTGGAGATACAGAGAAACTGGTAAAGCAGACAGGAGAAAGAAGAATAAAGGGATAATCAGAAAGGAGAACACATGGGGTTTCTGGTACAGGAGAATTAAGTACGGTGGTGAGACTTTATTCTTCTAGAACTGAACTGGAGACAATGCAACTGATCTTGCCATCCTCTGGAACTTAAGGGAACAGGGCCCTGTTTGAGTTACCATATAGGAGGAGAGGGTGTTCTGAGCTGGAAGAGTAAAAGGTTTAAGGTGAGACTGGTAAATCCATTGAGGGAGGTCCTTGAGCTTGGCAGCTGTGGGAGTCATGAGAATTACTTTATAAAGAAGCCTTAGGAGAAAGGGGTGAGAGGTGTTGTTCTGGGGGAGAGAAAAAGAGCTGGTCCCCAGTTTTAATTGGAGGTGGGCAGGGCTTGGCACATGGTTGAAGTATGAGTAGTCAGTAAAATCCCACAAGGGGGAACAATTAGGGTAAGCAGGTAATCAGGGATGGTGTAATGGTTTAGGTGAGAGGCTAGGAGTCAAAACCAGCCACCCATACATGAGTTCAAAGGGTGAGATGGAAAGGGGTCTTTAGGGGAGAGGCCAGAGCCTGAAGAGAGCCAGAGGCCAAAGCTTTACCCAATCAAGGTGATGTTCCTGTGACATCTTAACAAGAGTATTTTTAAAGAAACGGTTAGTTCATTCTACCTTCCTTGAGGTCTGAGGATGGTATGTGAATGAAAATGTCAGGGAATGCTAAGAGCCTTAGACAAAGTTTGAGGGATCTGGGCCATTGTCTGACTGAAGAGAGGTTAGAATTCCAAACCAGGGGATAATTTCCCAGAGAAGGACATCAGAAACTGTCTGGGTCCACTTGTTAGTGGTGGGAAACACTTCAATCCATCCAGACATTGTATCTACCAAAACAAAAAGATATTTAACCCCTCTGTCTGTGACCATATGAGTAAAATCAAGCTGCCAGTCAGTTCCTGGAAGGGAGCCCCTAGCCTGGTGGGTGGGAAAAGGGAAGCTACAAGATTTGGACTTGGGATCTGACTTTTGACAGATTTTACAAGATGCAGTGATATTTTCTAAGAACTTGTAAGTTCTTGGGGGTGGTTTGGAGGTGAGCCTTGACGAGGTGAGACATGGCCTGGCTATTAGGATGAAAGAGCTGATGTAGGTAGGACAGAATTTGTCGAGTGTCAGGGGGTGTCTATGAGAATGTGGGTTGTACTGTATGAACCCCCAGAAGTGATTGAAGTAAATTTGGGCCCCGGAGTGCCGATGCCCTGGCTGCTTGGTCAGCTTGATTATTTCCCTTAGAAATAATGGAGCTGTTGGTCTGATGAGACCGACAGTGAATAATTCCTATAGCTTTGGGAAGATGGGAGGTCTTTCACATGTCCATAATGTGGCCTGAGTTAGTTGTAGATCCTCCTTTTGCTGTAAGAAGCCCATGCTCCTTCCAGATAGCTGTGTGGGACAGGAGAATATGAGAGGCATATTTGGAGTCTGTAACATTTAAGGATTGCCCCTATGCCAACTGGAAGGCACTGGTGAGGGTTATTAATTCACTATGGCATAGCCTGCTCTACAGGTCCTCTTGTATAAAAAGGAGCTGCCATCTCACTCCTGCATAGAAACCTTAGAGGAACTACTACCCCACCCCTCACATATACAGGAAGGCACATTGGCCCAGGAGTGAGATGGGAAATAGTCAGTATTAGGTTGAGGTAGGAGATTTGAGATATTAAGGGGTGGGCAGCATTGGAAAGTGAGTGTGGCATCTTCCACTAGTACCACCCAGAGGGAAAGAACTCGGGAAGGAGGTAAAGCTTGTAAGCCTTTGTAAATCAAGAGATGGGACAGGTTATGGTGGGAGAAGATAGCGATGGGTGACCCAAAGGTTAGTTTTTTGACTCACAAATAAGGAGCTCAGCAGCTGCTAAAGCGTATTTGCAGGGTGCCCAGCACCCAGTGGTAAGGTCTAGCTTCTTTGACAGTTACGCTACAGGTGCAAAGGAAGGTCACAACTGATGCCATAGGACCCCAAAGGCATATCCCTCCTTTCGTGTTAATGGCGAATCAATGCCACATCAGTTAGGTTTTAAAGGGGATATTTATTTTGGGGGGGTAAAACTTACATATACACAATATTAGGTTAGGAAAGGAGCCTAGTCACTGGAGCAGGAGCCGGACCAAGAGGCCGAGCCGAGGCTTGTCGCTCTTTGTTTAAAGAGAAATATACCACGCCCCAGTGGGCTGGTATTTCAGGGGCTATTGGCTGATGGAGCAGAAGGCGCTCTGCAGCACTGTGGACTTGTGCTTCAGCGACTATTGGCTGAAGCAACGGAAGGTACTCCCGCAGTATTGTGTTACATAGAGGGAGAAAGGATGAGTTAGGTCTGAGAGATGGAGAGTTGGAGCCTCGATAAGGGCCTGATGGAGTCTCTGGAATGGGATGGGGGAGTGGCTCATGCAGAGAACTGAGAACAACCTTATATAAGGGGTGGGCAAGGAGAGAAAAAGAGGGAATCCAGGAAGACAAGAAACCAGCTATTCCTAGAGATGACAAAATCTCCCCTATTTTAGAAGGGACTGCAGGAGACTGGATTACTTTTTCCTTGTCTAAGGTAATAACTTTTTGGGTTGGGGTAATAGTTAATCTCAAGTAAATGACCTGAGAGGTAGACAGTTGGGCCTTAGAAGGTGAGATTCTATAGCCCTTTTTGGACAATAGATTCGGAAGAGCAGAGGTAGTTTGACTGATCTCTAGGGATGGACTGAAAAGTAAAATATCATCTACATACAGTATGAGTTTAGACTTAGGGAGAGACAGTGAGAGTAGATCAGAAGCTAAAACCTGGCCAAATAGATGTAGGTTGTCCTGAAAGCCCTGGGGCAGGACAGTTCAGGTGAGTTGTGTGGAGAGGTGAGTGTTAGGGTCAGTCCAGGCGAAGGCAAAGATATCTTAAGATTGAGAGCTGAGAGGAATAGAGAAAAAGGTGTCCTTGAGATCCAGAACCTGGAGGAATAGTAGAAAGAAGTGTGTAAGGATTAGGTACTGCAGGATAAAGTGGGACCACTGCAGAATTAATGAGCCGGAGGTCTTGAACCAGGCTATAGACTCTGTTAGGCTTTTTTTAATTGCAAGTATAGGAGTGTTAAAAGGAGAAGAGGTGGGGCGAAGTCGCTTATTTCTTAGAAGGTCAGAGATGATAGGTTTAAGTCTCCTAAGACTCTGGAGTGAGAGTGGGTACTGAGCTTGTGTAATGTACCTGGTAGGATCCTGTAATTGGGTGACAATAGGGGAGTAGTGTCTAGTAACAGAGGAGTTTTGGTTGTCTCAGACTTGGGGGTCCACCTGAGAGGAAAAGACACACTGAAGCTTGGAGGTTGGGAGGCTAGGAGGAGGCAGAGAGGAGTTGTTGGAGAGCCTGGGGTGAGGTGACTGGAAGGAGCAGATGAAATAGAAGCTCCCACTTCAACTAAAAAATCTCTTCCCATAAGAGGTACAGGGCAGGTTGGCATGACTAAAAATGAACAAGTGAGAGGAGTACCCCTGAAAATACAATTGTGTGGTGGGGTCTGATGAGGTAGGTAATGCTGTTCCCCTACCTCAACAATAGGGAAACTGGAAGGAGATGTAGGTCCCCCAAACTCTCTCAGTACCAAGTATGTGGCTCCGGTGTCCGACAGAAAGAAAGATGGCCCATTTTGATAACTGTGATATTTACCCATGGCTACCTATTACAGATGACAGTTGTGGTCAGGTCAAAGGAGCCTGGGCAACCTCAATCGTCAATGGCTAGACCTAGAAGGTTGGTTTGGGAGTTGTCTGGATCTGATGTCTCCATGCCACAATGTACACAAGGACACGATCACCCAATGCCCTTCCCTGTGGCACTTTGGACCAATATGAGGATTAGAGCATTCCCAGGCCCAATATTCAGTTTTACCACATTTGAAACATGTGCCCCAGGGCACAAGGGAGTGGCACAGACAGGGTGGTCAGTTGCCTAAGCTGGTCGAATGGCCTTGGTCAGCATTTGACATTTCTGTCTAGGGTTCTTATCATGCCTTCCAGGGTACACCTTAACAGCCAGCCCTAAGACTTCTGCCTGTGGGGTCAAGGGGCCTTTCTCCAAACACTTAAGTTTAGACCTAATGTTGAGGAAGGTCTGGGAAAAGAAATGGGTCGTGAGGAGCTGTTTGCCCTCCCCAGAGGGCAAAATTTAGATCTCTGGATCTAAATTAGTGTTCTGCAAGAGAACCTTTGTGAGGTGTTCTAAGAATGCAGATGGATTTTTATTTGTATCCTGAACAACATCTAAGAGTTTATTATAGTTTACTGGCTTGAAGGCAGCCTTAAAGAGATACGCCAGGAGGCAAGTCGTAAACCAGTCTCTAGCTAAAATAGCACCTGGGGTGTTAGAATCCCAGTGTGGAGCCCACTCAGGGACCGCCTCTGCCCCAGGGAGGTGTGCTGCATTAGTCTGGTGAACCTCATCTGCATGTACTCTGGCCTCCTCCCAAACTCGCCTGTGCTCCTCAGGAAGTAGATTATCAGTTAGGGTCATAAAAATATCATGAAAGGTGAGACTCTAAGATTGGGTAATGTATTGGAGTTGTTTTATGAAAGAGATAGAATTAGATGTGTAAGAACATAGTTTTTTTGTTCTATGTGAGAGAGTTCTGAGCATGAGAAACCGAAGTGTACCTGACCATTTTATCCACACTGGGAATTTCTCACAACTGCTGCTGATCTGGTTTGGTCAGGGTCAGGCTCCTTAGCAGCATGCATGTGCATGAGAGGAGGGGTAAAAGGGAGTGCTAGAATCAGGCGGCTGCCGCAGCATGGCACTAGAGAGGAGGATGAATCCGGAGGGGCTGACGGAGCAGTTGGTGGGGGAGAGAGAGAGAACTGGAGAGGTAGAAGCAGCTGACTGCTGAGGTTTAAAAAGTAGGGCTTCATTAGCAGGGTCCAGAGTAGAAACGGATGTTCCTATTGTCTTAGTTGGCATAGTCAGGAACATGTGAGCAGGTGAACATCTTGCGAGGACAGAGGGCTTAGAACTTAGATAGAAAAAGACTTGGATATAAGATAACTCTTTCCATCTGCCTGTGCGCTGTCAAAAGTTAGAAAGCACCCTCAGAATATCGGGATCTAAGGTGCTGCTAGGTGGCCACTTTCGGTTATTATCTTAGGTGTACTTAGGGCATTTCTTGGTACAAAGGTGGATAAGCTTGGGAATCATTAAGGCATTAAGTTTTGAGGTTTTAGGGTCTCTAAAGGACATCCCAGGAAGGAGGGTGGACTGATAGTTTTTGAGGGTTTGTTTCCCATGGCTAAGAATGTGAGAAAGGCGAGGACCCAATGGCAATTAACCATGAACATCTTTGGGATAAAGCGAGGGTCGAGGGCTAGGTCAAAGTCAATCAGGAATTGAGGACTGGATAGGACCACTCCGAGTGGCCCGAGAGAGGACAACAGTCTGAGAGACTAGGACAAAAGTCAGAGTGGTGAGGAGTCAAATCTCAGTCCTTAGCCATGGGGGATAACCAGAGATGAATGCCAGCGAAGGGCTCGACCATAGTCGTGAAGGCCGTGGTTGGGGGCATGCCCCCTCACTGTTTCTAGGAACACCATAGGGTTGCTGGGAGATCAATGGTCAAGTCCTTGGATTCAGAGAAGCAATTAAGCTGAGAAAAAGGGAAAAAACTCACCAATCAAAGCCACTGGACACTTGTTCATTCCTTATATCATGTTAATGAAGTCTGTTGCCTTTTCCCTCCCCTTTTGGAGTGAAATGTATAAGCATACAGAAAATAAATAAATTCAGCACACACTGAGTTTCCCTCCTGATGTTGTTCTGTGTTTCTGCCTTTTATTTCTTTGATATCTCTGTTCCCATTGCTCAATAATTCTAATCCTTGTGCTTCTACCTCGGAATGTGTGAATTTCAATGAGGCTGGATCCCCACGAACCCTCACATGACTAAACTGGTTGCTAGAATTTTTCCTCATTTCTAGGATCTGAAGTTTGAAAACAGTATTTGAATATGGCTGACATATAAGGCTTAGAGAATTACATCTATATTCCTGAATAATTAATTTTATTATTTTTGTTTTGTAGGAAAAAAGAAAGGTCACAACTGGTCAAGAGTAAAACGGAGAAGGCCGCAAGCTGTACGGCCAAAAAGTAAGCAAGCAACCGGACAGAGTTACAGCTGCTGAGTTTTTTAAGGTGTTGCCTGTTGCATGCTTGGAGGCCTGTGCGTTTCTGAGCATTAATAGTGTGTGTGTGTGTGTGTGTGTGTGTGTGTGGTGTGTATGTGAGTGAGTGTATGTGTGTTGTATTCACACTTGTGCATATGGTTACACGTACTTGTACCCACAAGTATAGGCCTGAGGAGGATGTTGAATGTCCTGTTCTCTCTCTCTCTCTCTCTCTCTCTCTCTCTCTCTCTCTCTCTCTCTCTTCCTTATTCCCTTGGTGGTTGTCAGCCAGTAAACCCCAGTGAGCTTCTTGTCTCCAGTCCCTTAACACTAGCGTTATAGGTGCACACATACAAATTTTTTATGTGGATGCTGGTATCAGAACTCAGGTACTTATGTTTGCTCACTGGTTGCTCTTAGCCCCGGAGCAACCTCTACCCTCCCACAACAGGTTTATGTAGGTTCTCTCAGACATGAGTTAAGAGGTTATAACAGAGTTGTGATACTGCAATGCCTTTTACAAATGGTTGGTTTCTCATACATGCAGTCATCCAGAAGTAAGTGGTTCAGCGTTGAAAGGGAGGTGCTGTCGTCTTCAGTATGAAATTTTTGTTGGTTTGAAAAAATGTTCCAAAGAAGGTTGAATGAAGCAAACAGGTTGCAGGTGTGTATGTGCAAATGTGTGTATGCGCCCCTCCTATCCATTCTCCTGCCTTGCTACTGGCTGTTCAGTTCTTCATTAGACCAATCAGATGTTTTAGACAGGCAAAGCAACACAGCTTCACAGAGTTAAACAAATGCAACATAAAAGAATGCAATACATCTTTGCATCATTATGTCCCACAGCATAAACTAACGTAACACATCTTAAAATAATATTCCACAGCATGAAACCATTCATTTTGCTTATAAATTCAGGCCTTTTAATGTAACTATGTATCTGTCTAGAGAGAGAGATGTATTTAGAGATAGAAAAATAATTGACAGTTCGTTTTCGCAAATGTTCATTGAAGGGTTGGTGAGATGCTCAGTGGTAAAGTGCTTGCTACACAAATTTGAGGCTCTGAATTTGGATCCCTAGCACCAACCTAAAAAAACTGGGCATGATTATACATCTACAATCCTTCACTGGTGAATCCACCAGGTTTGCTGAACAGCAAGCTTAGCCAGCCAAATTGGTGAGTTCTGGTTTTGGTGTCAGACCTTGTCAACAGTTAAGATGGAGAGCTACTGACAAAGACACTCAACTTTGGTATCTGGCCTCCCCACACACATTCAGGCACACCCACACATGTACATACAAAGGAACACAACATGTACACATTTATATGCAAAAATGCATGCATTGGTTATAGTTGGCTATTAGAATAGAAGTTATGTCCATATTTTTATTTCTGTTTAAAATATTGAATATGATCAACCTTTGTCATTAGAGGCATTCTAGAGAGAGAGTGAGAGAGAGCAAGCGAGAGAGGGTGTGAGACAAGTTAATCACAGAAGTATTTACATGGTGATGTTTCCTACAATCTTATTCCTATAACTTGTATATATTTACAAATAGCTCCCTACCATCTGATTTTAGAAACAGTCTAAGGGATTTCTTTTTCCTGGACAAAAACTGAATGTCTTTGTTTTTAAATGATTATCAATTTTGCATCAGATCCATGAAGTAGGCTTTGGAATCCCACTCAATATTAATTTCACCAAACTAAGAATCTTACACTCTTGACAATGACCCAACTGTGCTATTGATTGACATGTATATTTTTTGCTTAGAGAGGAGAAATGATGGTTGTGTTTATTTTTCGAACACATATTTTGGAAACCACATTTTCATTCAAGTCTCTATGTAGACAGTGCTTTCTAAAGTGTTAATACAACAGAATCCTTCGCAGGCTTTAACTTTGACTTCTACCTGCTTGGACACAGCTCCTTGTTGTGAGCTCCCATCCACAGTGTGTGTAGAAGGTACTCTGACATAACAGAGAGGCTCCCTTGCTCCGTTCCATTATCAGCTGTTGTTTGGCTCAATCTGCATTTGCTTGTGTCTCTCCTAGATGGCAGGAGAGTTGGTCGCCAGGCTGCTTTCAGGAGAAAGAAAACAGAAAAGAATCCAGGCCGTTCTGCCAAGACCAGGGGTAAGATGGCCTCTGTGGGTCTTTCTCTTCGCCCCTGAGTACACACAGATTTTGTTAAGGTTTTAAGGTTTCGAAAGCCTTAAAATTTCCTCCTCAGACTTATCTACTAATTTTGAGAGCAGCAAAATCTAAAAGCAAAGGTGTTTGGAGCAAGAATGTGAACTGTACTTATATCATCAATCTTATGTGTCCTAATTTCTTCCTTACCTTTGAGTTGAACCTGATTTTTATGAAAATGCTTTTCCTTTACACATTGGCTATTAAAATGTCTAGATTAGGTGAATTGTAAGCAGAAAGCAAATGCACTCACTCTCTCATAGTCCTTATCCTCCTCCCTTTCGGTGAGTTCTTTCTTACCTTGAGCCCAGTTCCTAGAGCTGGAATGGAGGATGGACGGCTGCAGGGATAAGTCTTTCTAGTGGGCTATGAGTGTGGGCTGTCAGAAGGAAAGGGAGGAAGGAGGTATTCTCGGGCATACTTAACCCTTCCAGAGTCCTGGTGACATCCTGGATGAGAGGGAGGAGGAGACTCTCTTGGAAAGTTGTTCCTGAGTGGAAGCCCTTCTGCTGCAGGTGGTCCCACCACCTACAGAGAGGAAGCAAGAGCGTTAGTTTCCATGAGAGCTTTATGTAGCTGAATTAACCACGGAGACATTGCCTGTTTACTCACTGTCTCTGAGAAACTAGAATCTTGATGATGCAGCTGAAATAAGACCCAGAGCTCTGGGCCACTGTAATGCTGCCTCCATTCGCCGGGAAGAGTGGAGACAATCTCTGCCAGACGCGGGGTATCACCCACCAGCGAATGCACATCACGGTGGCCCAGAGTGGTGGGAGAGAGCTGGGTCCAAGCTTTCTCTTCTATGACTACACGGACTTCGGCCTATCCCTTGGCTCTTCTTTCCTCAGTTTCTCCATTACTAAAGAGGAGGGTGATTTATGTCAACCATCCGATGCCCACTGTAGTCTTGATTAGCTACTGCTCAAATCCTGTCGGTACCACAGACGGCGCTCCCCTCCCCCATCACGGTCTCCGCACTGATGACCGGCAGGGCAAACGTAGCTTCTCATCTCCCAGAAATTTGTTTGAGGAATTTTCATCTCTACTTCTACAGAGTTGCAGCTCTGCTCTACATAAGAGCTTCCAGATTATTCTAGAACTTTTTGGGGTTTTCTCTGTTACAGACAGAAAATGCTGTTGTGAGGGAGAGATGGAGCAGAGCAGACATTCAGAGGAATAATTCCACCCAACTCTGCTAGGTTGCTCATCATCTCCTCTCCCTGCTAGCCCAGTCAGAGCTCAAATGGGGGGAGATAAGAGGACCATCTCTGCCTACCATCATTAGTACAATAGAACAGTCAGACATGGCCATGTAGCAATCAGTGTGGTCACTGGAGCGAGAATCAGTACAGTTTATCAAAGCCAAAAGATTCTGCTAAAGCTTGGGGTTTTTTTTTTAAAATAAATTAAGGGTAAAATATTTGTCATTATGTATCCAATATGCCATTTGCAAGAAAGACTTAGAAGTTAGATGCTACGGACCGGCTCAGGGGAGCCACTCAGACCGTGAGGGAATCAGGGTGAAGGCACAGGAGAAATCAGGATACGGCGGAGGAATTGACAGACAGACCACTTTCAACGTATTTTTGAAAATGCTGCTGTGTTTTACTTATTCAGTGTGAGGTTTTTATATTATTACAAACAAAGAACTTGGCAAAGGCATACATCATCAGATCATAAAAAAAGCATAGAATAGTTTACAAAAAGAATCTTTGAAAATGCTTTGACTTGGGCACAAGGACTTTCGCCCAGTCTGTACCAGGCGGCTGGCAGAGCTAAGTGACCTTGTGCTCAGAATATCTTGGGGTGTGAGAGGAGAAGGCCACTATCTTCCTGGGAAAACTTTCTGCTAGGAAATTTTAGACATGATCTCAAACTTGTCTGAATCTGGTTTCATACCATAAATCTCAACTTTCTTCCCTCCCCGACTCTCAGGGTCAGATGTTGTAATTAGCCTAGGTTATTCTGGCCATAATGAAGGCTGCATAGGCCTCCTGCACGTAATTCTCAGGCAAACATCTAGTGTTGCTGCAGCTGTTTTCCTGCAGAAGGCTTCTAAGGTTTCTCCTGATAAGAGCAACTCCTTTTGCTCCACATCATTCAGGAATTATTTTAACGATGACTTCCCTATTTCCAGAACTGGCTATTTCTTTAAAGGCTTTAATGAATAGGGGCGCAAAACTCAAAAATGTCCTCAGCAGTCTTGTTTGTATCCTCAACTGCCTGGAATAGTCTGATCTGTTAGTAATATGCAAGGATCACAAAGAACACACAGACAAGGGAAAAGACAGACATATAGCACCAAGTACAGTCAGGTCGAGTCAGTACAAATGGCAACTCAGGTAGCATTACACCACAACTGATTGCCAAGGGACAGCCCAGGACACAACTCCGAGAAGCGCGAATCCTGATCTTTCTGGCAATATTTGCCCATCCAGTCAGCATTTCTGCTACACTGGCGAGACAGCCGTGGATGTAGCAGTTAGAGATCTGAGGAGCAAAGTGTTCCTAGTGTTAAAGAAAGGGGAAGCATGCACACCTGCAAAGAGACGGAAGAAGAAATCTTCTTTTTCAGTTCCAAGAAGGCGCAGAAATGAAAATGCAGATTTCAGTGCTGAACTGCTTCCTGTGACATGTGGTGACGTGAAGGGAACATTACACAAGGACAGATTCAAGCAAGGTAGGGATCGTGGTTTTTAATTCACAACTGCTAAATAAAAACATCACAAGCAATAAAGGAATTACTTAAGGAACTGGGGGACGTGGCTTGAAAACAGGAGGGATCCTAACGCTTGAAACTATGCCTAGTAGATGCTCACAGTAACATGGATGGAGCCACGAGATGCCCAGAGAACCAGAGAAACGTCCATCCAGAGATGGAAATTACTGCATATTTTCCTTCCAGTCAGACATAAATGGGGAGAGGCCCGCAGCCTCTGCCTTCACATCCCTGTGTCAGTAGCACCGGGGCAGGGCACTTGTCAGGGTGAGAGCATCACAGGATTGAGAATCAGAGAACCCAAATTCCAGACTCAGCTTTGCCAAGAGAGGAGGTCTCTTTCTCTAATGTGGGAGAGGCTTTCTGGGCATGAAATTTCTCATTGTTAAATGGAGGACAATAATATAAAGCCTGATCCATGGTATATCCATGAGGATTAACTTATATTATTGGTATAACATATTCTGGTTTGCAAAAAAAAACCCAAAAAACAAAAATGAAACAAAATCCACAAAAATCCCCCCACCCCCAGCCAAAACCTACTATGATGGACTTCATCTCAGATCTCTTTTATTATGAGCCTGTGGATGGCAGTTGACAGAAATACATTGTCACTATTTTTAACATCTGTATTGAGTTATAATTCATATACCATATAATTCAGCACTTAGAGTCCATGATCAATGGGGGTTTCTTTTTTGGTACACAGAAAAAATTACCATGCGAACATACTTATTCCCCTCTGTCTATTAGGAGTTGATACTCATTCCCATTTCATTCTTCTGAACATTCACCCAGCTAATTCTTTTTTTGAATATTTATTTATTTATTATGTATACAATATTCTGTCTGTGTGTACGCCTGAAGGCTGGAAGAGGGCACCAGGCCTCATTACAGATGGTTGTGGACCACCATTTGGTTGCAGGGAATTGAACTCAGGACCTTTGGAAGAGCAGGCAATGCTCTTAACCACTGAGACATCTCTCCAGCCCCACCCAGCTAATTCTTGTCCTGTAAATTTGCCTCCTTACACACTTTATACAAGTGACATGTTGCAGTATATGTCACTTGTGACTGCCTGCTTTCACTTAGTATGATGAGATCAAGCCTCATCTGTGTAGTTTATGCAATATGTGTTTTAACTCACAAATAATGTCATATTCCATTGTATGACTACTTCATGTTTCCCTCATTTATTCTTCAGTTTGCCTTATTCTGCCTTGGGCTATAATGAATAATATTGTTTTGATAATTTGTGTATACCATTTATGTGATATAAACACTGAGTTTGAGGCACATACACAGAAGTGGAATTGCTGGGTCATATGATTATATGTTAAAGCCAGTAATGAATTACCAAATGTTTTTGGTAGTGGTTACACTGTTTTATAGCACCAGTCGTGTGTGAGACCTTCAATTTCCCTACAAAAAATAGCTATTATTTCTTGTTTTTTATTATGGTCATCTTGATGGTATGTGAAACGGTGTTGTGATTTTGCTTGCATTTTTATAACAATGAAGATGCCCAAAATATGACCATCTTTTTATTAACCGTAGTCTGTATTTTCATGGGACAATATTTACTTATGCTTAATAGTACTTACCTCCAATTGCAGTGATGGTCAAGTACCTGTTCAATAGTCTCATAAATTTGGGTAGACGATGATGCCACAAGAACTCCCAAGTTGCAAAATTCCACTACACCTTCAGCTCTAAGACGAGGACTCCACTTCCACCTTGCCGGGGGCCTCCTGGGACGGGTTGTTCTCCAGCCTGAGAGATCAACACCAGGTTGAAATCCAGGCACCCTGTGCAGTCAGTAACTACCTTGTCCCTTTCTACATGAGCCTGAAGTAGTTTGAAAAAGGTATCTGGTGGCAGTAGTTGTCATTTCCTTTAGGCATGAAAATCAAAGAAACATGAAAGACTTCAGCAAAGTATTTTAGAGAACTCTGGGCCTGAACTGGGATTTTGAAGCCAGAGAGGAGGCCGACTCTTCTGCTCCTGACTTGGAGCACAGTCTGGGTGGCTCCAGCTCTAGCGCAGTGAGAGGCCACGCATCTGAGTTCCACGGAGGGACAAAGCAGGCTCACAATCAGCCTACTGTGGTCTTACAGGGATCTCCATGAAGTCCATACAGAGTGAAGCTGGGAACTGGTACACACCCACTGAGTTTGAAATCTTGGGAGGCCATGGACGGTCAAAGAACTGGAAATTGAGTGTGCGCTGCTACAATTGGCCCCTGAAATTGCTGATCCAGGTACTGCAGTGGAGGGGGGAGGGGGGATCAGTGCCTCTTCTTCTTGCACTGTTTCCAGATCAAATAGCTATGAGATACGGGAAACGCCTGATGCTGATCAGGTTCTCCTATCACTCATGAGAGAGGCGGCCCACATCCATAGCCTCATTTCTGGGGGATGCACCTTGCTGGTGCATCCAGCAAATGATAGATACAGAATCTCTGAGGAGGGAATGGCCATTCTGGATAGGGGTTCTTGCAGAGAAATTTCTGCATTGACACCAAAGGAGGAGTTGACTGTCAGACAAGTGAAAGAGAATCTAGAGATAGGACCTGCTAGCAGCTGCACCAAAGGCAGTTGTGTGAATACAGGGGGATGAGTTATGTGGTATAAACCATCAATTCAGGATGTTTGTGTGGGAACTTAGTGCCATCCAAATTATCTCAAATTTGAAATGTATACAAGGAATCAGTGATGTCCTTGAGGTTAGAAATGGCCGATGAAATATATGATTATCGTGATTGTCACCATTATTTGGTGTGAAGGGGTTGATCTCATGTAAGCTAAAGAAGACATCAGCTCTCTGCTAACCCCAGCCTCTGGTTGTACTTTGCTTGCTGTGTTACTATGATAAACTCTATGAACCAAAACAACTTAGTGAAGGAAAGAGTTTATTTGGCTTATAGGCAGAAGTCCATCATGAAGGGAAGACAAGGCAGGAACACAAGGCAGAAGTATGGAAGCAGGAACTGAAGCAGAACTACAGAAGAACAGTACTTACTGGCTTGCTCCTTGGCTCATGTTCAACTGCTTTTCTTATTCATTATAGTCCCATGTTAATAGGGTTGGCGCCACCCACAGTGGACTCACTATATCAATCCATAATCAATAAAATGCTCCCACAGACATGCCTATAGGTTATCTGAGACAGACAATTCTTCAAATGATGCTTGCTCTTCTTAGGTATGTCAAATTGACAACCAAACTAAGCAGGACACATCTATAATGCTATTAGTAATAGACTACCATAGACATGATTTCATCATCTCCCTATCCTACAAGCTAGTTTTTATCCTAGAATTCTTAGCGTAAATATCTCACCCCTTCTTGACTGGGCCCTCACCTCCCAGAGACCCTACTTAAAGTGTTGGAGGTTGATTCTCAGTGCTGGTGGTTGTGGCATACTCTTTAAATCCAAGTACTCCTGAGGCAGAGGCAGCTGGATCTCTGAGTTCAAAGACAGTCTTGTCTACAGTGTGAGTAGGTTGCCAGACCTCCTCAGAAAAATGCTGTCTCAAAAAGGAGAGAGAGAGAGAGAGAGAGAGGAGACAAAGAGAGAGAGAGAGAGAGAGAGAGGAGACAAAGAGAGAGAGAGAGAGAGGGGAGACAAAGAGAGAGAGAGAGAGAGAGAGAGAGAGAGAGAGAGAGAATATGTATCTTCCACAAACTTTCTCCTTTATCTCCCATAACCAAATTTCTGTTATGTGCTCCAAACTCATCAGAACATGTGACACCCTATATGAATGAAACACACATGTGTTGGCTGCCTGGTCCTGGTGTGGAGCAAGCTGAATTGTATCCAGTGGGAACAGAGATTGTGTAATGGTTGGACAAGGATTGCGAGGGAAAATTCCCAGGACCTGAGAAAGAGAGATGTGAGGTCTTTCCAGCTGTCACAGGACAGCATCTGTCTCTAAGTTGTATGCAATGAGAGGGGAATGGAGTCAGACAACACGGGTCTGAATGGAAGATCCAGGCAGAACTTCTGGAAGGAGGCTGGCAATTCCCAATTCACACCTCTGAAATACAGATAATGACATGCTCAGATCCTTCTATCTTGCAGAGAAAATTTCTCCCCAATTTACCACGGATTTATGGCAAGAGAAAAAAGGTGAGTTCTCATCACATGATTTTACTCAAACAGCTTCTTATTTTATGGTGTCTCAGTTGGGTTGTCATGCTTAAAGTCACCTCTCCTTTCTTCCTCTACTCTTTCTTTTCATGTTTTCTGCCCGTGTCTTCACTCAGGCTGTGTGGAAGGCCAGGTCTTCCTTCAGTGTTAACTCCTTTGAGTTGGAAATGATAAAAAAATCACCAACATAGACTTCAATGGGCCACGAAACACTCCACACCGGGCTTCATAGCTCACTGAGGATTTGAACTTGAGGCCTATGCAGTATGTGTCATTTGCATTATTGTCTGACTGGTTTGGACTCTGAGCCACTGGGACATGTCAATCACTCAGTTTCCTAGAAGGAAACTACCTCCCAACCTGGTCAATGACTACTTTTAAGTTTATATCCTCTACTGTCCTCTAAATTCTAAGAGTATCTCTTTCAGAATCACTCAAATGAGCTAGAATTGTCCAACCCACAGAACCATGGATGCAGCGTTTCATAGCAACAGGGGCACTTGCCTCTTCTTTTGAGTCTCTATTTGTAAGAACAGGATTCTCAGAGAAACAGAAGCCACGATGCATTTCCACTTTCATAATCCTGCCAGGGCCTCTTCGTCTGCTCAGAGCTATGGGTTCTGGAATCTTTCTTGTCACTCTTGGTGTCACATGACAATTCCCAGCTCACACAGGATCATTTAAGCTTTCTGGTGAAGGCTGGTGTGTGTCAGACAGTCCGGTATGGTTACCAGAACCACCATTTCTGTATGCTAATATCTGCATTGAGACACCTGGAGTTCTCTTTTCCCAAGCGAAGCCATATTTACTCATCTTTTAATGCACAATTGCCAAGTATACACAGAACACCCATGGACTGCACAGAAGATAGAAACAGTAGCCCCTAGGGACCTCAAGGATTGTGTCCAAGTCACTGTTCACATTACAGAATAACAAACAGTGTGATGTGGGAGACTCTAGAACAGTGGGCAGTGAGAGCGCCCTTCTCGGGTGATTGTACCACAGATCATGCTTGTCTCCAGCTCCCGGTCCTGGACTGGAGTTAAGGGCTGAGATGGCTTGTGTCACAGAAGGAAAGGATGACAAATCTTCCCAATGAATGTGCAAATCAAAGTGAAGTCCATTTATTCTTCTAAACATCCAGCTGGTCTCGCTGCTCTGAGTTGTGAATAGAGGGCAGAAGGCCGTTAAGAGGAAGAGCTGCAGCCCTGGGTGCCTTAGGTTCATTTGATTTTCAGGGCTATAGCCCTAGGAGAGCTACAGAAAGTGATAGATTTCCTCTCTAGGATCACCCAGACTCCAGAACTCTTTGAGCCTTATGTGTTCTGGACTATGATTGGTATATCGCAGCTTCAGGCTCACTTTAGCTACTCTGGGGTGAGGTGCTGGTGGTCAAGGCTGATACATCCTGGGTGGTCAAATTGAAGAAAAATGGCCGAGAGCCATTAATGTTGGAGGACAGGTAGAATTGTTCAAACCAGCCTATAAAAATCAGATGCTGCCTCTTTGCCTGACTCCACAAAGGCTTCCTGAGGACCAAGAGCCAGGGAGTGGAACTTGCTTTGGGTCCAATAATAGTTTGACAACATCTCTTTCCCTGGAGAGATGCACAGGTTCATAAAAATAGGTATGGAAAAGAAGTAGATATATTTAAGAGAAACCCTCTAGACAGAATAAATTGAACCAATATTTTCAATCAAATAATTCAAGAGTGAGTGCCCTTGTCGAGTGGGAAGGATTCTAGGAATCCTCTACAGATGTGTGAGACCATGGCTTCTAAAGGCTGAGGTGAAAGTGAAATTGAGAAACATATTTGAGTGATCATGATGAAAAACCCTTGGTGAGAGATTAGGTGGTGGCCTTATGAGGCTGAAGTAGCTTCTTTGATTTTGCTGTTGGCATTAAGCTTTAATTTGTTAGATGGGAATTCTTGAGCTGTTCCTACCCAGTCGACTCTCAGTAATAGTACTAATTTTAGCCAGGGATGGTGGCACATTCTTGGAATCCCAGCACTCCATGTTCCATATGTAGAAACACAAAGATCAGTAGTTCAAGTCCAGCCCCAGTTGGTTATATAGTGAGTCTAAAACCATCTTTGGCTACCCGAGACCTATCTCAAAAATAACATCAATAATGCTGGTTGTGATAAAACTAATTTAAACAACTATCATTCAAATCTTACATTTAACATTGTCATTCAAATTTTCTCTTTCAGCGGAGAACACAGGATTTGTCCAGTGCCCCAGCTAACGCTCAGGTAAGTACTGACTCTTGGTTACAATCCCTGGAAAGTCCCAGCCTTCGCCTTGGTGCACTGCCTATGTCGTGGTCGCCTCTCCCCTGAAGGGGTCCCTGTCAGCTTGGGTGTGTTGCTCTGGGCGATGAACAAAGATTACCAGATTTGTTCCCCACCCAGGCAGGAGGAGCCAGTGTGGGTGCTTGGGCCAGAAGCATCCTACCGTGTGATTCACCATGTGTTCTCATGTTCTCATCCTGCCATGTGCTTCACCATGTGTTCTCATGTTCTCATCATACCATGTCTTTCACCATGTGTTCTCATCCTACCATGTGTTAACACGTGTTCTCATCCTGCCATGTCTTTCACCACATGTTCTCATGTTCTTATCCTACCATGTGTTAGCACGTATTCTCATCATACCATGTGTTTCATTACATTTTCTCATGTTCTCATCCTACCATGTATTAGCATGTATTCTCATGTTCTCGTCCTACCGTGTGTTTCACCACGTGTTCTCATGTTCTCATTTACACTAAAGGTGAGGGAGAGAGATGGAGATCTAGATCTCTGGGGTCCCTGGGACAGAGCCTGGAGTGGCAGTGGGCATGGCTGGCTGTGGATGAAGGGTGAGGAACAACTATGAGAGGAGACAGCGTCTATAAAAGGCAGTGTGTGGGAATACTGTCCTCCCCAGCATGCATCCCAAGTGCAGGCAGAGCTCAGGAGGAACAGGCCAGGCTTCATGCATAAATCCTAGGTCTGGATCGCTCCGCTTCCTACAGAAAGTTACTTGCAGAGTAAGTTGGTCTTTATGCCTCATGAATTCCCTGGGGTCACTTTGAAAGGCACCATTAGGAATCCATCTGGCTAGGACCAAACCATCACCACTGAGCAATTCACAGGGTATTTTCCCTCAGTCACCTTGAATGGTTTTCAATCATAGGTATTAATCAGGGTTCTCTAGAGTCACAGAACTTATAGAAGAAATTCCTCTCTTCATATATATATATATATATATATGTATATATATATGAAAATTTCAAAAATATTTAATATATATGTATAGAATTTATTGGAATGACTTAAGGGCTGCAATCCAACTAACCCAGCCAAGGCTTGCCGTGAATGAAAAGTCCAAGAATCTAGAAGTTGCTCAGTCTCATGAGGCTGGGTGTCTCAGCCTCTCTGTACATGCCAGAACCCTGAAGAAGTAGGCTCCACTCCAGTGCCAATGAAGGGATGGATGTGCTGACAAGGCAAGGACAAGCAGGTAAAGAAGAACCAACCCTCCTTTCTTTATATAGGCTTCCAGCAGAGGGTTTGGACCAGATAAACAGTGTCTTCCCACCTCAAGGTCTGGATTAAAGGTGTGTGACATTCCACCTCAAGATCCGGATCTAAGGCATTCTGTCTTCCTGCCACAATATCTGGATCAGAGATGTGCCTCCATTTCTGGATTGTAGTTCATTCCAGATATAGTCAACCTGACAACCAAGAATAGCCCTCAAAATCCACCTCTTGTCAACTGGACATACAATCATATCTCCTATGTCATGATTGATTTCTAAATAAGAACAATAACAAGGTCATAATAATGCCTAAACATTATTACTATGCCACCTACGCGCACAAGCACATTATATATTAATCTGGATTGTTGGAGTCCACTTGTTTGTTCCCGGTTGCTCAGCCCCAAAATAACCACACAGAAACTGTATTAATTACAACACTGCTTGGCCTATTAGCTTATGCATATTTCTAGCTCATTTTTATCTCTTAAATTAACCAATTTCTATTATTTTATATTTTACCATGAGGCTCATGGCTTACTGGCAAGGTTCCAGCTGGCAGCCTGTGTCTTTCCCCTCCGGTGGCTCCATGACATCTCTCTGACCCCGCCTTCTTTCTTGCAGCATTCAGTTTAGTTTTCCCTGCCTAGCTCTGTTCTGTCCTGCTATAAGCCCAAAGCAGTTTCATTATTCATTAACCAATAAAAGCAAAACATAAACAGAAGAATTTCCCATACCATTCCCCTTTTTCTGTTTAAATTAAAAGGATGGTTTTAACTTTAACACAGTAAAATTACATATAGCAAAACAGTTATCAAGCAAGAATTATAGTTACAATATTTATATCTACTTTGTCTCTTATCATAACTAAGGAAAACTATAACTACCTATTCTTCAACTCCATCAAAGACTCCAGAAAAATATAATATTATCTAAGTTAACAGAAAGTATATTGTAAGCTACTTACAAAACTCTAGAATTGACAGAGACATCTTACTGCCTGGACAGTCACCCAAAGTACTTCTGTAACGTTGAGGGCACCTATCTTCAGCTTACAGGCCCATAGTGTCCAGAAGACTTTTTCATGAAGGAGGAAATTTCAAAGGCAGTTCTGCCAATACTGGCAGTTTGTCAGTCACTTTCTTCTGTGTCCTGCAGAATGTCTGGCAGACTCTTTCATGAAACAAGAACTGTGAAGGACTGTCTCACCTTCTTTAGCCAGCTTCAGCAGTCATTTCTCTGTGGATCCTGCATGTCCAGTTAATGCAACATAATATTAAGCAGACTAGGCAAGAGCAATTTCTTGCTCAAATGGCTAACAAACTCCATAAGGAACCTCTTTGATGCCCATCATCCTCTTGAAGTAGATTGGTGCTGCCAGAAGCAGATGAGTCTCATTGTCATGAAATGTCTTAAGTTAATAATTTAAATATTTTAAATGCCATATTCTAAAGGTCTCTGAAAGATTTAAAGAAAACCCATCTAACTGAAATATATCTCTATATATCTAAAAAACCTAACTAACATGACTATAAGCTTGACTACTATAGATGATTATCTATTAACCTCTATTTCTTAATTATATATTACATTTTCAAATGAGCTGCAAAACACAATACTTTAATCAAGAACAGAAATATATATATGTACATATACATATATATATATCAAAATTGATTTTAAATTTGTATCAATATGTATCTCTAAAGCAAACCACGTCATAATTACACCTAACATGACATAACTATCCCTCATACAACCACAAACAAATTTTAAATTCAGAATAGGTGGCGATGTCCCTTAGGGGACATCCTATTAGTATTTTCTTAGTTGTTATAATATATGATAAGGATATTGAAAGAACAAATATCTGTACAAATACATTCTTCGCAAAAATACAACGGAAATACTCATGTTGGTCATGATCCTCATTTCTGCAACTGATCACGTGGCCTTAGATGGTTTTTAGAACTGCTTTCCTCTACTACCTCTCCTGTATTTCCTCTACCCGAGGAAAGCATGTCAACAGACCTTACTTAGCTCTTTTTAGCAGAAAAATGACCCATACCTTCATTCCTGATGGGTCTGTGCCCTATGTCAGCTTGCCTGGATTAGGTTGCTGTAATTTTCCATTAACTTTAATCACAGGGCACGGTAGCACTAAGAGATGCCCTACAGGATCTCTTGCTCTCCAGACATAGTCCTTCTTACCATCACTGTTCAGAAGCAATCCAATCTTCCCGTGATAATCTGGATCTATCATTCCTCCTAACAGTGTTCTTTCTTTCTTAGCCTGTTGGTTTAAGGGAGATAGAAGCCCAGAGTGGCCAGGGGAAAATCTGAGACACAGTTCAATGGAATGTTTGCTGTGGCTTTTGGCAGGAGCACTCCCTGCTCTGGAACCAACATTTTAAGGCCAGCAGAACTTAGGGATGTGGGAAAAAGCAGCAAAAATTTTCCTAGTGGGTCACCAAGGGTGATAGTGAGCAAAATTATTTCCTTTTCCACTCCCGTGGATCATGGCTATGGCAGAAACAGTACCATATATTGGACACTGATTCAAAACGTGTACTGCCTTCTGGAGACCCCTATGCCAACCCTCCATCCTGCTGCCACCTATTTGTCACTGTAACTGTGTCTTCAAAAGGCCAATCTGTCTTTCTCTCAGATCAGCTTCTTCAGAATGGTGAGGAAGACGGTAAGACCAGTGGGTTCCATGGTTGTAGGCCCACTGTCATATTTCTCTGGCTGTGAAGTGACTTCCCTGGTCAGAAGCAAGACTGTGTGGCCCACCATGTTAGTGGATGAGGCATTCTGTAAGCACAGATGGTGGTTTTGGCAGAAGTATTAACCAGAATAAGTATCAACTCCAGTAAGATAAAAAATACTGTCACTTCCATGTAGGAAATTGTTTAATGCAGTCAACCTGCCACCAGGTTGCTCGCTGGTCACCCCAGGGAATTGTGCCATATCTGGGACTCAACGTTGGTCTACTGTTGGCAGATCTGGCACTCAGCAGTGGCAAAGTCAGCCTTGGTGAACAGAAGTCCATGTTGTTGAGCCCAGGCATAACCCCGCCTCCGTTATCATCATTCAAGGGCAATGACAGGAATATCTGGGGAAAGAGACTGACCACTACCTGTTAATTGAACTCCTCCTTAGCTAAAGTCACTTTTTGATGGGCATTTACATGGGACACAAGTGCTTTTGCATCCTTTGCCCACTTGGAGAGCTCTGCCCACATATTTCTTCCCTAGATGTCTTTCTTACCAGTTTTCCAATCACGCTCTTTCCAAGTCCCTGACTATTCATTGGCTACACCCCATGAATCAGTGAACAATTGCACATCTGGCCATCTCTCCAAACAAATTGTAATGCCACGTGTACTGCCTGAAGTTCTGCCCACTGTGAAGATTTTCCTTCACCAGTATCTTTCAGGATTTGTTGCAAGGAGGGCCCGCTTGTTCATCTCAGCTGCCCAGAACCGAAATAACCACACAGAAACTGTATTAATTAAATCACTGCTTGGCCCATTAACTCTAATTTCTTATTGGGTAACTCTTACATCTTAATTTAACCCATTTCTATTAATCTGTGTATCACCATGAGGTCGTGGCCTACCAGCAAAATTTCAGCATGTCTATCTCCAGCGGCAGATCCATGGCATTCCCTGACGCCACCCTTCTTTCTCCCAGAATTCAGTCCAGTCCTCCCGACCTACCTAAGTTC